TCTCCTGCACCTGGAACATTCTCCTGAAGAGTGTGGCAAGGCTGCCACTTTATCCTTTAAATATCAGCTCAGACATCGCCTTCGGAGGCTGTATTTACCAAACTCCTCCTTCTTCACATACCGTAGTTGGTAGCTACACAGGAGCAGAAAATGCCTATCTTTCAGTCATTTTTCTCCCTCCTCCTCTTCTTTGTCCTCAATTGCTCAAAATGACGCCAAGGTTTGCTTTCGGGGCCTTGCCATGTCACCCAGGCTGGCCTTCAACTGACTTCTACTCACGTAGACCATGCTGGCCTCAGACTTCTGGCCGTCCACCTGTCTCAGCCTCACGAGCACGGAGCTTTCAGACTTGGCTCACCATACCCCATTCTTTCTGATTTTGTGTGCATGGGCGTTTCGCCTGCACATATGCCAGGGCTCCTTGTACATGTAACGGCTGCAGAGGCCAGAATGTGTGGGATTCCCTGGGACTGCGGCGACGGAAAGTTGTGAGCCACCCTGTGGGCGCTGAGGGTCAAACCTGGGTCCCCTCGAGGACCTCCTCTCCAGCCTAAGTTTTAAATTTTGGATAACTAGACTAATGCAGTATTGTGACAGGCAAAACCATGACCCACAAAACCATGACTGTGCAAGCCCCAGATTCTTCGGGTGTTTTGCCTTGCACAGCAGAAGGGACTTTGCTGATGCAATTAAGTGAAAAAACCTCAAGACAGGAAGGTTATTGGATTGCTTAGGTGAGCCAAATGTCATTACAAAGGAGGACCATAGAGGTGGCTCAGTCTGTCAAGGAGGCTGCGTCACCAATCTGGAGGCCCGAGTTTAGTTTCTGGAAGTCGCATAAAGATGGAAGGAAGGTGAGAACCAATTCCACAAAGTTGTCCTCTGAACTCCACACACGCCATCACCATTGCACACATACACACACACACATCCTGCACACACAAAAATAGTATTAACAACATTGTAAAAGCAAAGGTCGAAATTAGATGGTGATGGCAGAAGAGGTTGAAGCAATGGAGTGCGATGAAGACACAGACCTCTTGTTCCCGTCTTTGAGGAGGGACAGCCAGCTAAGGAGCGTGGGTTGTCTGTAGGAACTAGAAAAAGGAAGGAAGCAAATCAAGGGACGCAGCTCTGCCAACACCTTGAGGCATCACAACCCACATCACACTTAGAAACCACAACTTTATGTGTTCAGCTGAGTGTGGTGGCACACACCTTTAATCCCAGCACTCCAGGCAGAGGTAGTTCCTAAGATCGAGGCCAGCCTGCTCTACAGAGTGAGTTCCAGGACAGCCAGGGTTACACAGAGAAACCCCATCTTGGAAAACAAAACAAAAATGTATGTGTTCAAGACATACATTGTCGTGAATGTTATTTATTTGAGACACTCTATTACAGAGGAATGAATACAAATATTTGTTCTTTTTGTCTGGCATTTTTTACTCATTTGTACTACATTATATATATATACTTAATTACATAAATATACCATATTGTACTTTTTATTAATATTTAATCTTAATTATGTAATTGTGATGAGGGTGCAGCTGAGTGGAGATGCCCATAGGCCAGAAGAGGGCATCAGATCCTCTGGAGCTAAGTGTTATTGGCTGTTATGAGCTGCACCATTGTGCTGGGAACTGAACTCATGTCCTCTGCAAGAGCATTGTGCGCTTAACTGCTTACCTGCTGAGCCAGATCTCCAGCCTCTAATTACTTATTTTTGTACTTGCCTATGTGTGCACATATTTTTGTATGTGCATGTGGGTGTCATAGCACGTGTGTGAAGGTCAGAGGACAACTTGTGATAGCTTGTTCTCCCAGGAAACAAATTCCCAGGGAACAAATTCAGATCATCGGCTGGATGTGGTAACACTCGCCTTTAACCCCAGCACCGGGGAGACAGAAACAAGCGGATCTCTGAAAGTTTGAAGCCAGCCTGGTCTACTAAAGCAAGTTCCAGCACAGACAGGACTACACAGAGAGATCCTATCTCAAACAACAAACCAAACCAACAAAGAAAAAACACCAGCTGTTAGGGCAGGTCATAGGCTTGGCAGCGCACCTTCCTCTACTGAGCCATCTTGCCGACCTCATCAAACGGTCTTCTAAGGTGGATTGCCCCAATGTCATTTCCTCCAGGAGGAGGGCACATTCCAGATATTCTTAGCAACGCTACTTACTTTCCATCTTTTAAATCCAAAACAAAATGTGGCAGCCATCCTGCCGAGCAGTGCGTGTTAGCTGGCTTTCTGTCACTAAGCACACACCCCAGTGAAAACCCTTGTGACACCATGCCATGGTGCTAGTGGGATCTGATAGCACATTTAGATCTTAATGGCCCAGGTTGGGTCTTGGCAGACATGCCTTTGAAGGGAGATACTAGGACTCATTCCTGTCTCTCTCTTTGTATCCTGACTGCCTGAGGTGAGCTGTGTTCTCTGCTATGTATTCTCACTACAACAGGCTGCCTTGCCAAGAGGAGCTAAGCAATGACGAACTGAAACCTTGAGCCAAACATACCCAACGTAAGTTGGTTTATCTTCGGCATTTTGTCATAGCGGTGGAACACTAACACACAGTTTATAAAAAGTGTATTTTGGCCCACCGTGTTGAAGGATTTCAGTCCAGGATCAGTTTTGGGGGCTATGGCAAGCCAGCCCATCATAACTGGATGCCATGAAACCATTCATGTCATCACCAGACCGCTGAGAAAAGGAGAAGAGGCCAGACCTCCATAGTAAGGCTACATATTCAGTGACACAAAGACCCAACACACACACACACAGCAGGCTCCATCTCTCAGATGTCACCATACTCCCAACGCCACTGCTCTGGGAGTCAGGCCCTAACACACAGGCCTGGGGAGGCAGTTCAGGCCCTAAGTATGGTAATAGGGGTATCTCATTGTGGGTTTAATTTGCATTTCAGACTAAAGAAAGGGAGGCCTGTGGTCACATGTGGACTGGGCCATTTGGATATTTTTTTCTCCTGCAAAGTGTCCGGTCAGGTCTTTAGTGCATTTTCCCCCTGGCTGTTTGCCTTTCTCCTTTGGGCTTTCGGGTCTGCTGTATTCTGGATAGGGGTCCTTTCCTGGGTATGTTGCAACATCTCTGTAGAGTGCCCCAACGATGCCCACACACGATGGGTCTCAACAAAAACTCCTACAAGGGGAGAACACTGGATGGATTAAACCGTTGCTGTCATGGGTGTAACTGGATCTAAGATTTGAGTCTCAAGCAATAAGAACTGTAAGGAGAAAAGCCAGAATACAAGTAACATCCTCAAATTCCATTGCTTCCAGCCCATTTCTAGACATGCAGGTTTTTAAACATTTAGGCTATTTTTAAAAATGTGTTATATTTCTATATTCATTTATTCTATATTTATGTGTGTGAGTGTCTGCTTGTATGTATGTATGTATGTATGTATCTACACCATGTGCGTGCCTGGAGCCCTAGGAGGGCAGAAGAGGAAACTGAATCTCCTGGAACTGGAGTTACAGATGTAACTGAAGCACATATGGGCCCTGGGAATGGATCTCCAGGTCCTCTGCAAAAAAACGAGTGCTCTAAACTGTTGAGCCATCGCCAGTCCAAGACTCAGGTCTTTAAAAGTGTGTGTGTGTGTGTGTGTGTGTGTGTGTGTGTGTGTGTGTGTTCATGTGTGTGCAGAGGGCAAAGGAAAGCCTCCCACTGTTGTTTCTCAGGGGCTGTCCACATTGTTTTTTGAAACAGGATCTTTGACTGGCCTGAAGCTCACCAAGTAGGCTAGGTTGACTGGCCAATGAGCCATCATAGATCCATCTATCTCCGCTCCCGAGCCGCCAGAGCTGGGATTACAAGAACAAGCTTTAAAACAAAACAAAACTAGTAAGCACTTTTAACGTGCCTCAGCCACGTCTTCAGACACCTTAAGGTAATGTTTAGTTTTGCTTAGTTTAGTTTACAGAAAGGCTTCCACACTGTAGCTTAGTCTGGCCTGAAACTCAAGACAATCCTCCTGCTTCCGTCTCTCAAGTCGTGTTATTAGAGGAGGGAGCCGCTGTATCTGCCTCTTTCTAATCAAATCCTGTGTATCTGTGTTGTGTGTGGGAGAGAGTTTATGAGATTGCAGATACAGAGACCAGAGGGGTCAGATTGTCCCTGGAGCTGGGTTACAGGCTTTTGGGAACTGCTTGACATGGGTGCGGAGAACAGAACTCAAATCCTCAGCAAGAGCCAAACCTGCATTCCAGGCTCTTAGAGGTATTTGTAAATTAATACCATTTAAAAGAACATTCATGGAATACCCCAATGGATTAACACGTTCTGCGAAGTGAGAACCACTGTGAACAGCGGACAGACCCTTGCTCTCAGGAAAGCCAGAAGGACAGATAACAAACAAACAAAATAATTCCAGATGGACGGAAACAAAAGTCGTACGTGGAGGAAAAGCAGGGCAGAGGCTTGGTCCAAGCAATTCCCGGACCAGGACAGCAGGAAGGTCCGCGCCCTCGGTCCCGCCCCCTATTTGCATACGTCTTACGATTGGCCTCCGGCGGCAGGCCCCACCCCTCAGAGCTGGCGGCCTGGGAAGCTGCAAGCGGGCCCGGGCGGAGATGCAGCGGCGGCTCCGGGTGTCGCGGTGCGGGCCGGGCGGTGTGCGGGCCGGAGGCGGGCAGGGGGTGCCCGCCGCAGCACCCGCACTCTCCTGACGCCCCAACCCTGCAGGCGGCCCCGGGTCGCCCCAGCCATCGTCCCGCTCTGCAGTCCCCACCCCTCCGCCCTTTGTGCCGCCGCCACCCGGCGTCCCCCGCTCGTCGGGACCCGGGGCGCGCGGGAGCGAGAGGCCCCGCTGGGCGCACGGTCGGTAGCGGATGGCGGGCGGCAGGCGCAGGGGCGCTGCAGCTCGAGCCCGCGACGTTGGAAGCCCCGGCCGCCTTCGCCGCATTGTCCCGGGCTGCGAGCCCAGGCCCTGAGCTGCCGCAGCGCCCGCCCACCGCCACCCGCGGGGCCATGCGGAGAGCCGCCGGGATGGAGGACTACTCCGCAGAGGAGGAGGAGTCCTGGTACGACCATCAGGACCTGGAGCAGGGTGAGCGCGGCGGGGAGGGAAGCGGCGTACGCTCCGAGACCCCTGGCCACTACCCCATTGTTGGGCGGTATCACCTAGAAAAGGGCTGGGCTGGACCTGGTGCGCCCAGCAGAGCACGATGCGTCTTGAAAATGGGGACGTGGACCGAGAGGGGCGCTGCCCTGGAAGATGTGGACGCAGTAGAGGGAGACCTGCAAAAGTGTCCAGATGGCAGGGCAAACATCGCGCTTCTCATCTTAGTAGCAGCAACTACTTGGGTGTCCCTAGTGGGATATTCTTAGGGGGCCTGGGTACTAGGTGGAATGGGAGTCTTGGGGCCCCCGCAGGAGATTCCTGGGTACTTTGCTAAGAGTGCACTGTATGTTGAGATAAGTCATCTCTCCAGATCAGCAGCACCTGTCCTGGCCGGAATTTCTGAGCTCTAAGACTTCGAGAAAGTTTCCCCAACATCCTTCCCTCTGCCCACAGAGGGGGTGGTGCAGGGAAGCCAGAAGTCTCCAGTCTGCCTTCCTGAGAGAGGTGTCCCCTGGTCCTTCCCTTCACTAGGCTTCCACCCGAGTGGCTCAGGATTTGGATGGGGTCCTTTAGAAATTTTAGACTTCCTGCAAATGGGAGCGTTCTGTGGCTGTCATCGGAGGTCCCAGAGAATGATTGAAAGGGTTTAGAAACTGGTGATGAGGTGGCTAAAGTGACATCACTGAGAGGAGAGGTGGAGCATCTTGACAAGAAGAAGGCCTGAGAGGGACAAGGAGTGGGGCCTTCCGGAGTAGAGTTGGTCCCACCCTCTTCTCTGCCTAGGCGCCTGTTTTGCTGATACCCTGAGGGTGAGGAAACATATAAGGAGAAGGGACCTTCCCACAGTCACCCAAAAGCCCTGAGGTATTAAAACACAAGCCTGGCACAGTGTGTGCTGTGGAGGCCCAGAGTCCTGGTTTTGCCAGGCTGGGAAGCATTCACTTGGATCCTGGAGCCTTTGTCTCCTGACCCACTTCCCCACACAGCCAAGCTTCACCTGCAGATGAAGGGGCTGTCTCTGTGCTTGTCAGTGAGGCAGAACCTTGGGAAACCTGTGTAGGATGGAGGGTGGAGGGCTTGACATTGCTGTGCAGTGAGCTGCCCCATGCCCTTGTGCCACCTCTTCCCTGTCCTGGCCACAACCCCATGACCCCTAAAACTTTTCCGCTCCGTAAACACCTCCATCGTCCTGGGACCAGGGCACAGTCACAGCCCCGACCCTCTAGGTGTGCAAGCGGAGGGGGCTCTTATATGTTGTAAGTGATTATGGGATGGCTTCCTGGGAGAGGCTAGCTCAGAAGGAAAGATAAAAAGCTGAGTTCTGGGGAAGGTAGCCTCTAGGGGAGGCAGATGCTAATACCATGGCAGTCTCATTTAGTTCCCACACCCCTAATGAAGGCTTGGCACTATGCCCAGCCCAGATGTGGGAGGAAGAAGCCCAGGAGTAGGGGTGGGAGATGTGTGGCTTCTGGTGAGGGACATGAATTGCCATTTCAGGGGCACTAAAGTGCCCCACACTTCCCCCCCCCCCCCCACTTCTTGGGTCCTACTGGTCTGGCCTGCAGCTCCAGGTGTAGACAGAGCCCAGGAACCAGGGGACACCCAGTAATGAAACACTTTGTGAAGAAGTGGAACTTCTTGCCAGCAGCTGTGTCTAGGGATGGAATCTCTGCCCTCCTGATCCTGAATTTCAGCAGAGGAGGAGGAAGTGGCAAGTGAGAGTGACAGCCCCTTCAGCAAAGAGCTTTGAGCTGGAGGGCAGAGGAAGGAAGAGGAAGGCATGTATGCAGGCGGAAGGGATGTTTGTACCGAGGAATGGGACCAAATGAAGGACAGGGGAAGTCGGGGACAAAGGAAGTCCTAGCCACTCAGCTCTGCATGCCAGGCCAGGAGGGCTGGGTGACAGGGTGAAGCGCCTGCCAAAAGGCAGTCCTGTCAGAGGTCCCATGTTTGTGTTCCTCTTCCCTGTACTTGGTCTCCAGATTCTTCCCATGGGCTCTGTGGACGCCTCTGGATGACCCACACGTGGGGTATCCTTCCTGCCTAATTTCCCTTACCCTAGACTAAGCCCCAACTTCATTTCCCAAAGAGATTGTCCCTAAAGATCGTGTGGCTCTGTCCCAGAGACAGGAGGTGGCCAGGACGGGTGGGGGCTTCGATTGGCTAATGTTCCCTCTACCCACTGCCATGAGCACCTGTAAAAATAGAAAAAGTCATGAATTAATTATTAAGCACTGGCTCTTCCTTTGCGTTTCCCCTCCTCCATCTGTGACCACCTCTGTCCAGGCTGAGGGATGGCTGCTGAGTCACAGATTTTGAGACCTGACCTCCCTTCCTGCCTAGCCTGACCTTGAGTCTCGAGTCCTGCCCCCATCCCCCAGGAAATGTTCTGACTACTAAGGAAAGGGATGACCCTCCTCCACCCTGGTCACCCCCAAAGGCCTTTCTGAGTTCCTGACTCTTGTGTCCTGTGGGGCAGGACCCCCAGATCTACCAGCTGGTGTTTTCCACCTCAATCATCCTTTTTTACCTTTGTCCATCTTGGCCTATCCCTTGTCCCTTTCTGGCCCCTCTGTCAATGTCTGTCCTGTGATGGGATTCCAGGGTTTCTTTTATTTTCTCTGAAGCATTGTCTTATATACAACCAGTTAGAGCCCCCAGTGGAAGCCCCAGAGAGTCCCTAGGGACAGGCAGGGGAGGTGGCAGCCCAGGCTCAGTACCTTCCCTGGTTTGGTCAGAGCCTGTTAACCCAACCATGACAGGCTGTTTGTTTCTCTGGGCTTGCATAGTGTTCAGCTAGCCTCTATGCTCCCCAGCACCCAGGTCAACCTTTCCTGAGCCCAGAACTGCCACTATCCTTCAGCAAGCTGCCTTCCCTAGGACTTGGTTCCTCTCAGTCCCCTGCTATCCAGCTCTGGACTCCTCCCATCACCCTCAAGGCAGCTCTGACCAGCTCTTGCCTTGTGATCCAGTTTCCCTGAGATTCTCCAGAGCTCCACCCAGGCAGCTTCCTCTCTCTCTCTCTCTCTCCCTCCCTCCCTCCCTTCCTTTCTTCATCATCCCTGGATTACTTGGTGGCCAAGTCAGATTTGCAAGGCAATCTTTGATCGTCTCTCTCTTCATGGTGTGGCATACTCCCCCACCCCACCCTCACTGGGACACCAGCCTATGAATTCACGAAGCCCAGCTTCTGGAAGGAGGAGCATGATATTGAAATTGCCCTGGGCCTTCTCTTGTTCCTGTGGCTTTGAATTCTGCTCAAGCTGCAAGGTCTTGTCACTGGCTACCCAGGTATATGGTATGGCAGTGGTCACTTCCTAGACCCCCTAACAGTCCCAAGGCCTGAACACTTAGGAAGGTGAACAAAGCCATCCTGTTACAGACTGGGAAGACCATGAGGGTCCCTCAAAGCCAACCACCCCATGCCACCCCTGCTATTCCCCAGCACATGATAGATCACAAGGCTGTCATTCAGTAATCGGAGCACTGGGCTTCAAACTTTGTAGCCATCTCCAGACTTTGGCCCAACATATATAAATCCATACAGAAAGTGTCCTCAACTGCCTTACTGGGTGTACATTAGGTGACCTGGCCTTTTGGCATCTTCATTGTGCAGGTTACTTGCCCCGAGCTATGGAGTTTGCATCTGATTTAGTTTTGTTTCCTTCAGGAGAACTGTCTTTGTCCCAGGCTGTGTCATTACAGTCTAGCTAGAGGGGAGCTGGTGTGGTCTGCTTCCTGGTGACATCAGGACACAGAGCTCTCCTCTCCGATTAATTTAGCTCTAGAGGCCCCATTCTGGCTATTTGGAAACCTCATCCCTGTTCTGAGCTTGTTTGTATCCTACAACTTGGGAGACACAGGTGATGTGATCAGGGGTTTAAAGTCATCCTTGGCTATGTATCAAGGAAAACCTGGACTACATGAGACCCTACCTCAGACAACAACAAAAGTTGCTGGGGATGTAGCTCAGTTGGCAGAATGCCTGCCTAGTGTGCAGGAAGCCCTGGGTTTGATTCCCCGACGCCACATAAAAACAGGTGCTGCAGCACATCCCTGCAGTGCCAGCACTTAGGAGGTGCAGGCAGAAGGATGAGAGTTCAAGGTCACCCTCAGCCTTTTTGAGTTTGAGGCCAGCCTGAGCTACAAGATGCTCTGTCCTTAAGGAAAAAAGAAGAGAATTTTACCCTCATTGTGAGAGCACCTTTAGGCCTGTTCCTGATAAGGCTTGGCCTTTTGTCTAGGTCCAGTAGCTAATGGGGCTTCTCTGGCTTTCACAAGGAACACCAGTCCTGTTCTTGACTTAACTGAAAGAACACAGGACGCTCTGCCCTCTAACCCATCCAGTGTCCCCACTCCATAAGGCTCCAAGAGGAAGGCCTTACCTGGGCCTGTCTGCTGCACAGTAGAAGGTGTAGCCGAAACAACCACATATCTAAACCTTGCTTGGGGGTGGGGGCAGAAAGCTCTTCTGTCTTGGAGGGAAGGCAGAGCTATCATTATATGTAAAAATAGCAGCACGTCTTATTGGCCCCAGAAGAGTTGCTTTTACAAATCTTGGTCCAGATTTACACCATAAGCCTAGAAAGGAGGCTGCTGTAACAAACAGCCTCATAACATTAAATAATAATACTAAATCAGAGCTTTCCTGCTTTGGGCAGAATGGATTGCATAGGCCTACTGTTTGCCCCACTAATTCTGTTTCTAGGAAAGTGTTCTCACGAAACATGATTTAGCCTGGTGTGATGGCCATAAATCCCAGCACTTGAGAGACAGAGGCAGGCGGATAGCTGTTCAAGGCCAGCCTGGTCAACAAAGCAAGTCCAGGACAGCCATCGCTACACACAGAAACTCTGTCGCAAACAAACAAGCAGTGATTTGCACTAAGGGTTTTGGTTTTTGTTGTTTTGGTTTTTCAAGATGGGGGGGTTTTCTGTGTAGTGTTGGCTGTCCTAGAACTCAGTCTGTAGACCAGGCTAGCCTCCAACTCACAGATCCACCTGCCTCCGCCTCCCAAGGGCTGGGATTAAAAGTGTGCACCACCACTGCCCGAGTGCAATATGGTTTTAATGCAATGAAGTTAACCCTAGTTTGACTTTTATTTTTCAGTACTAGGCATGAGTTCGGATCCTCACACACCCCAGGCAATCGTGTTACTGTGTCCATCGTTGAACTACATCCCCTGCCTTTTTTTTACTGTTTGCTGTTAGTGATTTTTTTTTAACAAGCATTATAAAATTCTGTGTATGAGTATTTGGCCCACATGTATGTATGTGTACCATTTGAGTGCCTAGTGCCCAGAGAAGCAAGAAGAGGGCATTGGATCCCCTGGGACTAGGGTTACCAACAGGTGTGAGCTGCCATGAGGGTTCTGGGAACAGAACTCCGGTCCTCTGTAAGGACAGTGCTCTTGACCACTGAGTCATCTCCAGCACATTGGTGTGAAGTGTTTAAGACAGGGTCTCCCCCTGTAGTCCTGACTAGCATGGAAGCTGAGGCCAATCCTCCTGTCTCAGCCTCAAAAGTGCTAGGATTACAGGCATGAGCTACCACGCCCAAACTCTACCTACTTTTAACTTTTTATTTTAAGGCAGTGCCTCTGAGTTGCCTGAGCTGGCCTTGAACTTGTGGTCCTCTTGCCTCAGCCTCCTGAGTAGCTGGGGTCTTGGCCGGTGGCATAGTTACACAATTTAGGTGTTTTGTTTTGTTTGTTTTTGTTTTTAGCCTCATGTAACTCAGGCTTGCCTTGAATAAACCCTGTATCAAAGGATGACCTTGAACTCCTGGTCCTTCCACCTCAACTCCTCAGTGCTGGATTGCAGGTGTGCACTTCCTCACACAGTTCAGGCAGCACCGGACACTGAATCCAGGGCTTTGTGCCTGCTACGCCAGCACTCTGCCCCCTGAGCTTCCTCCCCACACCCAGTTTTGGTTTGGGGGTTTTGTCTTGTTTTGTTTGAGGCAGAATCTCATGTGGCCTAGGTTGGCCTCAAACTCCTGAGCCTCCTGCCTCAATTTTCAAGTTCTAGGGTTATAGTCCTGTACACCACACTTGGCCCATAGTTTCACTTTTAATAAGGAAAATACTCAAAGACACTCTAAGCAGCCAACAATAAGGATTATCAAGACAAAAGTGTTTAGAGCCTGTACACAAGAGGCAATAGCATTTTCTGCATTCACTAATAGTGCACTTACAGCTCTACCCACGAAGCTACCGCGATGCACTTTTATAGAAGAGCTGGGACAGACTAGACATGGCTCTGTTTACACAAAGCATATTTGTATTACATTGTGTGTGTGTTGTGTACATATATGTATATGTACGGGAAAGTATGTGGAGGTCAGAGGACAACCTGTAGGAGTTGGTTCTGTTCTGCCATGAGGGTCCTGGGGATTGAACTCAGGTAGATTCAGCAGCCGTGTTCTTTATCCCCCTGAGCCATCTCACTGGTCTAGTTTTGTTTCTTTTTTAGATTGTGTGGTGTGCGTGTGTGTGTCTGATGTTGGTGCCCCATGAATGGGAGAGGAGGATGTTTGAGTGCCTGAAACTGCAGTACAGACAGTTGTGATTGCCTGCTGGGAACAAAACTCTGGTTCTCTGCAAGAGCAGCAACAAGCTCTTGACTGCTGACCTACCTCTCTAGATGATGAGGATGATGATGATGATTTGAGACACGGTTTCACTGTGTAGCCCTGGCTTGACCTCAGTCTCACAGACACCCACCTGCCTTTGCCACCAAGTGCTAGGATCAAAGGCGTGCGCCAAAGCACCCAGCTCAATTAATTTTCTATTGTTGGCTTTTCACCTTTTCTGCCTATGTGGTTTTTTTGTTTTGTTTTATATCAAGCATAAAGAGATACCAAGCTGGTTGGTACCACATGTCTACAATCCTAACTTAGAGGAAGCTGAGGCAGAGATCCAGGATAGCCTGGGCTCCGCAGTAAGATCCTGTCCAAACAAAACCAAACCAGAGACCTTAAGGAGGAGAAGGGAATAAGCCTCAAGCTTATAGGAAAAGACATTTCAGATGGAAGTGATGACGATGGCACAGAGGCTCAGCCCTGGCTTCCATCTCTAGCCAGGCTGGGGCTTCTGAGAGTAACCTAAGTCAGGGTGACTAAAGTCACCAAGAGCCCAGCCATAGGTGAATGCCAGGGCCTTACTGAGGGCTCTCTGACTTCCTCGCTCTGTTCTTTGCCCTGGCCCCCTCTCTCCAGACCTGCACCTGGCCGCTGAGCTCGGGAAGACCCTGCTGGAGAGGAACAAGGAGCTGGAGGAGTCCCTGCAGCAGATGTACTCCACCAATGAGGAGCAGGTGCAGGAGATTGAGGTGAGGGAGGGGCCTCCGGCCCTGCACTGCTTCAAGGCCTCTGGCCCTGGCCTGTGTGTGCCTTTGTACAGCTTGCAAAATGCATCCCAGCCTTGCCCTCATGGTTCAACCCCTGCCCACCAATTGCAAGGCAGCCCACTACACCATGGTCTTCACCACACCGCCCCTACCCCCCAACCCCTGGCTCAGTTGAACACAAACCTCTCAAAGCCCATCGGCCTAGGAGTGGTAAGAGGGCCAGCCAGCGACTTCTGCCCCTGCCTCATTGTAAAGGTTTGTTCCACCCTCACCTCCTCCCCTAGTACTTGACCAAGCAGCTGGACACACTGCGTCTCGTGAATGAGCAGCATGCCAAAGTGTACGAGCAGCTGGACCTGACGGCCAGAGACCTGGAGCTGACCAACCAAAGGCTGGTGTTGGAGAGTAAGGCTGCCCAGCAGAAGATCCACGGGTGAGGGCTGGGATGGTGAGGGGAGGCCCACGGGTGTGCGGACTGGTCGGGAGACTCTTCTAGAAGGCAATGATAAAGGGCCTGGGACTGTAGTGAGGCCATCCATCCATGTCAGCTCTGCGTGCTTAAACATCTATTCTACAACAACCAGCATTCCACTCCCGTCCACCTCCCTTTCTTTTATTTGGTTTTTCCAGACAAGGTTTCTCTTCGTAGCCCTGGCTGTCCTGAAACTCACTCTGTAGACCAGGCTGGCCTCAAACCCACACAGATCTGCCTGCCTCAGCCTCCCCAAGCACTAGGAATAAAGACATGCACCACCACCGCTGCCACCACCACCATCACCAACTGACCCTTCCTTTCCAAGATTTATTTTTACTCTGCCTATGTGAGTGTTTTGCCAGCATGTATGTCTGTGTACCACATGTGTGCCGTGTCCTCTGAGGCCAGGAGAGGGTGTGGGATCTTCTGCAGCTAGAGTTACAGACGGTTGTGAGCCACTGTGTGGGTGGTGGGAACCAAACCCAGGTCCTCTGCAAGGGCAACAAGTGCTCTTAAGCACCGAGCTATCTCTCTAGCCCCAAACAACTGATGGGTCAAAAGTCACCCATGCACCAGGCTCAGTTTGAGGTACTAGAGATCCTGCGACCGTGACCTGCCCTCTGGGACCCACAGATGAGAAGGAGGGCAGACATGTAAATGTGTCACTGCAGTGCACAGTGGTCGTGACAGAGGGGTGTGCAAGAACCTGGGGTGGGGTTGGGGAAATGGCCTGGTTACTAAAGGGCTTGCTGCACAGGCTTGAGGACATGAGTTTAGGGGCTGAAGAGATGGCTCAGTGGTTAAGAGCACTGTCTGCTCTTCCAGAGGACCTGAGTTCAATTCCCAGCACCCACATGGTGGCTCACAGCCATCTATACTGGGATCTGATGCCCTCTTCTGGCGTGCAGGTGTGCATGCAGTCAGAGTACTCACATGTATAAAATAACTAAATCTTGAGAGAAAGTGAAAGAACCTGAGTTCAAGCCACCATGTAAAATATAGGTTGCAATAACATGCATTTGTAGTTCTAAACCAAGGAGGGGGTGATGGGTGGATCCTGCCTTAGCTGAATAAACAGCCCCTGGGTTCTTGTGGAAGCCTGTCTCCAAAACAGAAGGTGGATAACTGGTTGAGGTATGATACCCAAGGTCATGCTCTGGCCTCTGCATGTACTCCCCTCCATGAACATACACACAGATACAAAAGGGTCAGAGGTGGCTGAGGAGCAATGACTGGTGGGATGCGTAGGCAAAGGGCAGGACCTTGGATATGGCAGAGCGTTCTCTGACCTTAACACCAGACAGCATGCTCAAAATGGTCTGTTTGTCCTTAACTCCATGTCCTCCATCTACAAAGACCCCGGGCTGCTGAGAGGAGGCTGTCCCTGTCTCCTGAAGGCTTCCCCCAGGTGGGGCTTGAGAGATGGCTAAGAAGTTAAGAGTGCTTATTGCTCTGGGACCAGAGTTTGGTTCCCAGCACCCACCGTTTTGGTTCCAGGGGATCCAACTTCATCTTTTGGGTTGCTCAGGCACCTGCATACACACACACACACACACACACACACACACACACACACCCCTAAAAATCAATCTTAACATTTTGGTTGTGAGCCCAGCTTTTAATGGCTGAGGCATCTCTTCAGCCCTAACAATCTTTACCAAAAAAAATGCAAAAATAAAATAAATAAAAATAAAACTATGTCCCCCATACCTGTCCTCATCCTCTTCCAGGCTGACAGAGACCATTGAGCGTCTCCAGTCCCAGGTTGAGGAGCTGCAGGCCCAAGTAGAGCAGCTGCGAGGCCTGGAACAGCTTCGGGCTCGCCGGGAAAAGCGGGAGCGCAGGAGGACCATCCACACCTTCCCCTGCCTGAAGGAGCTGTGCACAAGTCCTCGGTAGGCAAGGGTCCTGGTATGTCTTAGAATCCCAAGAGCACTGGCTGCGGGATGAAGGAGAAGGGGCACAGTGGCTGGGAAGGAGGCCTGTGTCTGGTCCAAGCCCCGGGATGCTTGCTAAGGACAGCCGTGGGTGTTACTTTGCTAACACAGGTCATCACCTCCATGTCAGATGAGAAAAACCTAAGCCTGGCAGCTACACGGCTCATCCAAGGCCGTGTGTTCAGCACAGCCAGGCAGCACTATACCTCTCGATTCCCATCAAACCTTAATTCAGCAACCACTTACTGTAAGAATACAGGCCTGGGGATGTAGCTCAGCTTTACAGGCACTTGCCTACAAGTGTGTTACCCCGAGTTCCACCCCCAGCCTAAGACAGGAGAAAGACAGATTGATGGAGAAGATCAGGGTGAGGCTGGAGCCAGAGTTCGGTTGGAAGGCTCCTTGTCTAACCTGCAGGGGGCCTTGAGTTTGATCCCCAAAACCTTATAAACGGTCTGGTGAGCACACTTGTGATCCCAGCACTCACAAGGTGGAGGCAGGAGAATCAAGAGGTCAAAGTCATCCTCAAGGCCAATTTGGCTGTATAAGACCCTTTAAAAAAAAAAAGAAAAGTTAAAAAAATAAGGAGTGTGAGTGGAAACTAGGTCCAGGGCTGCACTAGAACAGGCCTCGGGGTCTAGAGGAAGGGAGATTGCTAGAACCTAGACAGTACGGAGAGGTCTGTCTGGCCAGCACCGAACAGGGAGAGACACACCTGGAGATCCTCCCTTGTTCCAGCCTTGGCCCTTCCCCATGCCTCCCAGGGTTGAAGAACCCTGGGTAAGTCTTATGAGTCATCAGTCGTCCTCAGACACACACAGCCAGGAGAGAAAGGGGAGTAGGGGGTGGAGGATGATTCAGAGGGTCAGAAGGAAGAGTTAGAGCAGTGTCTGATACTTTGGTCCAGGGCCTTGGCCAACTTCCGCTGCCTGGTCCCCAGCAGGTGTGAGGATGCCTTCCGCCTACACAGTTCCTCGATGGAGCTGGGCCCTCGGCCCCTGGAGCAGGAAAACGAACGACTTCAGACCTTGGTGGGGGTGCTACGGTCCCAGGTGAGCCAGGAGCGACAGCGCAAGGAGCGGGCAGAGCGCGAGTACACAGTGGTGCTCCAGGAGTACACGGAGCTGGAGCGACAGCTGTGTGAGATGGAGGGCTGCCGCCTGCGTGTGCAGGAGCTGGAGGCGGAGCTGCTGGAGCTGCAGCAAATGAAGCAGGCCAAGACCTACCTGCTGGCCCGGGAGGAGCACCTGGCCGAGGCGTTGCTGGCGCCCCTCACTCAGGCTCCTGAGGCTGATGACCCCCAGCCGGGCAGTGGAGATGACAGCAATGCCCAGGATGGTGTCTCCTCACCTGCAGCCTCCCCCAGCCACGCAGTGCGCAAGAGCTGCAGTGACACAGCACTCAATGCCATAGTGGCCAAAGACCCAGCCAGCCGTCATGCTGGCAACCTCACGTTGCATGCCAACAGTGTGCGCAGGCGCGGTATGTCTATCCTGAGGGAGGTGGATGAGCAGTACCACGCGCTGCTGGAGAAATATGAGGAGCTGCTGAGCAAGTGCCGGCAGCATGGTGCTGGGGTGCGGCACGCGGGCGTGCAGACCTCGCGGCCCATCTCTCGGGACAGCTCATGGAGGGACCTACTAGGGGGTGAGGAGGGCCAGGGAGAGGGCAAGGCGGGTGAGAAGAGCCTAAGCCAGCACGTGGAGGCTGTGGATAAGCGGCTAGAGCAGAGCCAGCCCGAGTACAAGGCGCTCTTCAAAGAGATCTTCGCCAGGATCCAGAAGACCAAGGCCGACATCAATGCCACCAAAGTCAAGACGCACAGCAGCAAGTGACCCCACTGTAGGTCTGCAGCCTCCCTCTGCCTCCTCGCCGGAGGGAGGGCTCCCTCATGCCTGGATTCCCTCTGCCTCCTCGCCGGAGGGCTCCCTCATGCCTGGATGGCAGCCTCTTGGCAAGTGAGAGGGCCCCTTACTCAGCAATATATCACAGCAGGTGGCTGGAGCGGAAGAAGGGGCCCTCTCTGATTTGGGGACACAGCCTGTTTCCTGCTGGTGGCTCTGCTCACCTGTCCTGCCTCTCTTGGCCACTTTGCTTCAGCTTGAAGGCACAGCTTAGTTTAAAAGCCAAACACTCCACCCCACCTGGCCACTGTCCCTGAGGGCTTTTCAGCTTCCTCAACCCTCTGTTTCTGAACCCCAAGCCTCACTCTCAGATTGTCCCCAGTCTTCTGCAAGCCTTTTTGGCTTAACTGATTTCTTTTTTTTTACCCTTCCAAAGTTGCTTTTCTGAGAGATTTGCAATGCAAGGTCTCCTTAAGCCTTGCCACAACTGGAAACACTTGAAAGGGAATCTCAGAGCCAGCCATTGCTGGTGTCTGGGGTCTCCTAGACCATCCACTGCTTCTTGCCAGCCACAACTGTCATTCCCTTAGCACCAGCTGTACCTCTCCCAGAGTTCTGAGCAGGGCGCAGATGGCTCCCACCTTGCTGAGCAGAAAGTTTTAGCTAGGCCCGAGTGTACCCACTCCGGCCCTGGCAAAGACCCTCAGCTCACCACACATCTGTAGCCAGTCTGAACAGCGGAAGAGGGAGCCCTCAACAGCCATACATGGGTAGTGTCCCTTCCTCTCAGAGCCAACCTCCTCAAGTTCCATTCCTGGAAATACTATGGGCATGAAGCTTTCCAGGGGCTCGGAGGGTAGGAAGTGCCCCAAGCCTGCACACCACCTCTGCTTTCCTTCCTTTCCCTGCGCCTGCCCCATCTCAGGGACCATGATGTCTCATCCACTCCTCACTTCCTCAGGCCAGCCCTGGTACAGTTCACATCTGCAGCCTTCTGAATGTCCTGTGCAAGTGTCACCAACCCAGGTCCTAGTGTCCAACTCTATCCTTCACCAGGGACTGTAGGATCCTTATTCCATGTTGAGTTTTTTGTTTTCTTTTTGTTTGGTTAGTTGAGTTATTTTGTTTTGTTTTTTTAGTTTAGTTTAGTTTTGTTTTGTTTTGTTTTGTTTCGAGACAGGGTTTCTCTGTAGCCTTGGCTGTCCGGGAACTCACTCTAGACCAGGCTGGCCTTGAACTCAGAGATCTGCCTGCCTCTGCCTTTCAAGTACTGGGATCAAAGGTGTGCAATGCCACCACTGCCCATCCCTTACATTGAGTATTCTTTTCTTTTTGGTTTTTCGAGATGGGGTTTCTCTGTGAAGCCCTGGCTGTCCTGGACTGGCTTTGTAGACCAGGCTAGCCTCTGAGATCTGCCTGCCTCTGCCACCCCGAGTGCTGGGACTACAAGCATCTGCCACTGTGCCCAGCTATCTTGATTATTCTTAAGTTGAAGAAGTTTCTTCTTTCCCACCTTCCTACAGAATGCCTGCTCTCTACCTCCCGCCTTTATGGGAGTGGTTTTTGAGGTCTCACCTGGGTCAAGGGTTCAGTATTTTAGTCTAGGACTTCAGAAAGTCAGGGTCCATCTAAGAGATGCCTAGGTCCCCAGCCTGCCCTCTGGTTCCTTCTGCCACCCTTCCCAAGACCCTGTAAATCAAAGGAGCCATACAATCCAGTGGGAGGCATTGACTTTGGCCTCGGCGCTGGGAGCCCAGTGGGAACCGTCACGCCTTACCTTTTTCTAATGGGTAAAGGGGCTTTCTTATCAAGCATGTCTGACATCCCCGGAGAGGCTACATCGCTCCAGGTGGCACTGTGATGCCAGCTGGCAGCTGGATCCTTCTGTTCATGTAACTTGGAACCGTTTGTCCTTTGGGGCTGGGCACCCCCAAGCCCTCTATATGTCTCTGTCATCTGGGGATAGAGGAGGAACTCAGGCCCACTCACTTCCCCGGTTCTGTAGCCGCTGACCAGTGTCACCTTCGAAGTATACATGAGAGAAATATATTTACAAATGCTTTATTCTCTTCTTTAATAAAAAGAAAAAATGCACCAGTATTCTAAAGGCAGGGGTGACCCTGGGGCCATCGTCTCGTCTCTGCGCCTCACAGGCTTGCCTCCTGTCATTCACCACTGCAGGTGAGGGTGTATCTGAGCTCTGCACCCCTGAGCTCCGCGTTTCTTTGAGGTCACTGTGGCCCCTGAACTCTCAGCTTTTTCTTGATTGCTTGTCCATCATTAGACAGCTCTTGGAGAGGTCTGTGCGTGTCTGTGCAGAACCAGCTTTGCCAAGCACGCTGATGAACAAAACACAAAGGGTCTGTGTTGCCCTGGAGTGTACATTCTGGCTTGGGGAGATTCCCCCAAAGCAACTACAAATAAAATCAAGGTGATCTAACCGTAGCCAGGAAGGTGGTGCTAGCTCAGACACGGCATTCAAGATCATCAAGTTGTGTGGGGACTGCTGACGCCTTCAGCTTTTTCTTCTCAAGCGCTGGGATTATAGGCATTTGCGGCCACACCCAGTTTATTTGGTGCTGGAGACGACCCAGGGCTACGTGCTTGTCAGACAAACACTGTCACTGGGCCCCGTCCCCAGCCTCTCTGATTCTTACCTTTTTTTTTTTTTTCTTTTCCCTTGAGGCTGAAGTCAGCAGTTAAGAGTACTTTTTGTTCTTACAGAATACCTGGACTTGGTTCCCAGCACCCACAAAAAGGATTGCAATGATCTGTAACTCCAGTTTCAGGGGATCCAATGCCCTCTTCTGGCTCCTGCAGGCACCAGGCATGTACATGGCACACATGTATGCATAAAGGCAAAACACCCATACACAACAACAGTTAACAAAATGTAACTAAAAAGAAAAATAAAATTAAAAAAAAAAAACAGAAAATGGACAGGGTAGCACTATGTTGACCAGGCTGGCTGGAACTCAGATTCACCTGCCTTTCTCTCCCAAGTGTTGGGATAAAAGAGGTTCACCACTATGCTCTGCCCCACTTTTTTTTTTTAATCTTAATATGTATAGACTATAGATAGAATATATGAGAAGATAAGTTTTAAAAAGTAGGGGGCTGGAGAGATAGCTCAGTGGTTAAGAGCATTGGCTGATCTCCTGGGACTCACATCAATTCCCAGCACCCACATGGCAGCTCACAGCTGTCTGTAACTCCAGTTCCTCACACAGGCAAAACACCGGTGCACATAAAAATAAATTTTTATTTTAAAGAGTCATAGAGGGGCCCACGAGGTGACTTGGCATGTAAAAACGACTCCCTTGGATTGTCCTCTGACTTCCACACTAGCACCTTGTAAAATAAATGTAAGAAAATGACTGAAAACATTTTTTAAAGTCATGGGGGCCTGCAGGCTCCTGTAAATGGCTCCGTGGGTAGGGGTTCTTGCCGTAGTCCTAACAACATAAACTAGATCCCCAGAGTCTATGTAAGTTGGAAGGAGAGAACCCTCTCTGTGAAGTTGTCCTCTGACCTCCACATGTGCAAGGGATACAGGCAGGTGCCACCACACCAGGCCTTCCCTTCTTATTGCCTTAGGGTAGCTAAGCCTTTCTGAGGTTCTCAGTGGCCTAGAACTCTTGATCTCCACCATCAGGCCTGGTTCTGACACTCCTAAGGTCTCCTTACTCTTTCCAGTCTTGGATCTCAGCATCACCAAACTGGACAGGAGGTGTGTATGGCCACTCTAGGTCCTTATTGTTCCTTCGTGGTTATGTGACTTTATTATGTGACTAAGTGCACTGTTAGCCCAGGCTAGCCTTGAAGTTGGAATTCCTGAGCCTCCAGAGTGTTAAGATCATAAGTGTGCAATACCACACTTGGCTCTCCTTTCTTTTTGCATTATCATTTTTTCAGCTTCAAACAAACCTATGTTTTGTTTGATATTTTCACCTATATATTTTTTTGGGTTTTGTGGGTTTTTGTTTTGTTTTGTTTGTTTTTGAGACAGGGCTTCTCTGTGTAGCCTTGGCTGGCCAAGACTCTCTTTGAAGGCCAGGCTGGCCTCGAACTCAGAGATCTGCCTGCCTCTGCTTCCTAAGTGCTGGGATTAAAAGCATGCTCCACCATCCCCTTCTACTTATGATTTTTTTTAATGGTGAAAAAATATATATTTAGGACTAGCCAGCAGGACTCAGTTTGGATCAACCCAGTTTTGTTGGTAACATCCAAAGCACGGAGATCTGGAGCCAGTTGAACACGTGACCTCTCTCCATCCAGCCAGAGGGTGTTGACCTTGTCCACATCAACTACACACAACTTCTTTGAGGTTCTGTTCGACCTGGTGCTTAGCCCTGACTTCCATAAGAGCCATCAATGTGCCACTTCTGCCTTCTTCATGGCTGACGCCATAGCCAGGGAAGCTGGTGATGGTCAGTGATCAAGCTGGGTTTCACCAGAGAACACTCTTCCCAGGATGACTGGGCTGCTGGAAGATGGATGATGGACAGGTCAGCATGTGGCTGCGGTGGCCATTCAGCATGAACTTAGAGTTCAAAGCCTTTGCTCTGGCTTTAGCTCAGGATGCTGGGCCAGGGGCCAGGGGGAGTTTTTCCTTGTTTTGGTTTTATTGTGGAAAAGAGGCCCTGGTGCCTTAAAAAAGAAAAAAGAAAAAAAAACCTTTATGGGTTCTTTCCCTCTGCCTGTGTCTGTGTACCATGTGGATGTTTGATGGCTGAGAAGGCCAGAAGACATCAGATCCATTGGGGACTGGAGTTATGGACAGTTTTAAGTCCCCTAGTAGATGCTGAGCCCAGCTCTTCTGGAAGAGCAGCCAGTGCTCTTAACCGCTAAGCCATCTCTCCAGCCCCACCTGTCATTTTTCACTCTTATTTGTTATTGGTGTGTGAGGGGTTCCCCACACCACAGCTTGAATGTGGAGGCCGTAGAATAAGCATCGGGAGTTGGTTTTATCCTTCCACCATGTGGGTTCCAAGGATCAAGCTGAGGTCCTCAGGCTTGGCAGTAAGTGCCTTTACTTGCTGAGCTTGATTTCTAACCATGGGTTTTTTTGTTTTTTTTTTTTTTAAGGCTTTCCTAGGTTATGGCACTAAGATTGAGTGGGTGATAGGCAGAGAAAAAGAGACTGATGTCTTAGCCTGGTGTGGTGGTGCACACCTTTAATCCCAGCACTCAGGGAGGCAGAGGCGGTCGAATCACTGTGAGTTCCAGACCAGCCTGGTTTACAAAGCAAGTTCAGGACTGCCAGGAGAAACCCTGTCTTGAAAAAAAAAAAAAAAAGAGAGAGAGAGAGAAAGAAAGAAAGAAGGAAAGAGAAAAAAGAAAGATGTAAAAAAGAAAGGAGGGAGCTGATCCCTTGAGAGCCACAAAGGAAGAATCAGACCAGCCCTAGGAAGTTGCCCATTAAGACCATAAGACAGTTCTAGGAAAAGCAAGACGGCCATTTATCCCCTGGTGTTTTCTTAACTTACAGTTCCATGTGCATAATGCTCACAACTCCCATCCATTCCCAGGAACCTCCCTCCAACAGTGTGGGGATGCAGTACACACCACTGTGGACTTGTCGCTTGTCATCACCAAGACTCACTCAATTTAGCCTCCATGGAACTCTGGGAGGGAAGAAGGTGCAGTATGGAGAGCACAGAGCTGAGCCCCAAATTGCCGATTACATCAACTAACAGCCTGGGTGGTTTCAGGTCAGGCGTGCCTGAGGAGGTGAGAGGGCAACACAGACACGCAAACATGCAAACGTACACACACAGTCACTCACGTGGAATGGGGCTGTTCCCAGGGGACCCAGCAGGAAACAAGCCACAGAGCGTATACTGTGCTGTTCATCTTTCCAGAGAGGGAAAAGGAGTCTAGCAAGCTTGTCAGAATGGATTTCCTACCCTAGCGCTGCAGAGAAAAGCTATCTGATTTTCTTAAGAGGCCTGTGCGCACAGCACCTCTGAGGAGTTGCTGGCTTTTGTGAGTGTTCCCTTGCTGGCTCTGTGGCGAGTAGTTACAGTCTGTTCAATACCCCCAGGAACTCCAGGAGACAAATACAAAAGCTCTCGTTTACTGAAGAGCATTGTGAAGCTTAGAGGTTAAAGTGAGTCATTCAAGGTCACCCAGAAATATTCCATCTGAGGCTGGAGGTTGTAGCTGATGCCAGAGTGTTTCTCTAGCATGTGCAAGCCCCATGGGCCATCCACAGCAATACACACACACACACACACACACACACACACACACACACACACACAGTGTATTAGTATTTCAACTGAGGCCCAATGCCACCATACCTCACTGAACACCCCTTATGCCCACAACATGGAGAGCTTTTAAGGAATTGTCTGACTTAGGGCACTCAGGAGAAGGCAAATCCCATGGATCCCTTTTTATCCAATCATATTGCCAGCTCACAAGCTGTAGAGCAGGGCTATGTCTACAAATTCCTCAATTTCCAGGACTGGCTTGTGGATTCTTTTTGTTTGCTTGCTTTTGTTTTTTGAGACAGGGTTTCTCTGTGTAGCCTTGGCTGTCCTGGACTCATTTTGTAGACCAGGCTAGCCTCAAACTCACAGAGACCCGCCTGCCTCTGCCTCCCTGAGTGCTGAGCTTACAGATGTCCACCACCAAACCCAGCTCAGGATCATTGATTCTTAATCCTTTCTTCCCTTTTCTTGATTTTGAGTGAATGGTCCCTTCCTGAAACACCATCTCAACCCAGGCAACCTTTGGAGGACCAACGAGGGAAAGGAGGACAGTGCCATCAGCCTCCAAATTGCCAGCCTTTTTATTGTTATTGTTTAACACAAGGTCTTCTTATGTGACCTAGGCTAGCATGAAACTCACTATGTAATGCAGGCTGGCCTTGAACTCACAGTAGTCCTCCTGTCTCAGCTCCCCTTACAGGCCTACGACACCGACACCCCACTTAGTGCCCACCCATCCAGGGGAACAGGTGTCACCTCTCCAGCCTGTTTCTCCTCCCAGCACCCTCTATCCCCTTACCGAATGGTTCCTGGCAGCAGCCAGTGAGAAGAGCCTGCCAGCGGCTCTTCTCCCCACCCCAGGGCAACTTGTCTCATTCTCATCTCTCCTCCCATCTCTTCCAGAATCCAGGCCACCAGATGGCCTGACAGGCTGTGTTTATTTGGAGCCACGGAAATGTGCAGCTTCCTGTTCCTGCGTCTGTGGGTCAGGCACAGGTTGGAGCCGCACCTCAGAGCAAAGATGCCCTGGAACTGCTCTGGTTTTATTATTCATAATCCGCAACCCGAGTGGCTGAGGTTGCTCCCCTGAGCAGCTTCTTCTAGTCACTATGGAAACGTCTCTGCTCCCTCTGAAATTCTGGGACTAAATCAGCCAGGGAAGGACCCAAGAGACTCCTTTCAACCCAGAGCCCCAAAAGAATATGTCAGTTGCCAGTCCTTCAGTTTACAGACTGTCGAGGGGCTGGCTTATCTCCCTAGTAACGCCGAGACCATAAAGGCTGGCTTCAGTGACAGCCCCCTGTCTCAATCAGCCAGTGTCCCCGGGGAATACTTAAATTATCCCAGGAGCATATTTTTCTAGATAATGACCCTTTCTCCTAAAAAAAAAAAAAAAAAAATCAAATTCTTCATTACAAGTTAACCACAAGAACTATTATCAATTACTAACGTTTACTGACTTCTATTTTCATACACATATACCTCAGCTAAGTAACTAAGCCAAGGATTAGTCACCTTCAGACATCGCCCTTGGAGACTTAGCATTAGAACCATCAATTCTGGATTTCTCGCCATAACAACGATATGATCTGGTCCTGCTTAGCCCGCTGTCTTCTGAATTCTGTACCTACTATTCCAGCTGGTCTTTAGTGGCTAGAAGAACCCACAATGCTGTTCCTTAAAGCCTTAGGGTGGGAAGAGGCTGGTGTTTAGAACCATTTTCCTCCAATGATCTGCCTCCCAACCCTGGCTGGGTACATAAGCAAAGCCATCCATCACCACTCACACATGGATGGAGGTGGCTTATAAACTGTTTTGTGTGTGTGTGTGCGGGGGGTGGGGGGAACAAAAACAAAAACAAAAACAAAACCTGAAATTCAACTTCCTTCTTTGTTCTTTTCCTTTTTTGGGGGTGGGGTTTTGTTTTTCTAGACAGGGTTTCTCTGTGTAGCCTTAGCTTTCCTGGACTCATTTTGTAGACCAGGCTGGCCTTGAACTCATGGTGATCTTCCTGCTCTGTCTCCCAGAGTGCTGGGATTACAGGCATGTGCCACCATACCCAACTCAAAAACTTAACTTTCAAAAATGAATTGCTGCTGAACAACCAAGGCTATACAGAGAAACCCTGTCTTGAGAAAACAATAAATTAAAAATAAAGTGAATTGCCATGAAATTTACTTGATCCACATTGTGATATATCTGTGATGTGCCATGTTCTGCATGTTTGGGATACAGCAGAGAGATTACATTCTAGCTAGGAGACAGGCAATTACGTTAGAACATACGACTAGGACGCTGCATGGTCATAATCTGATTAGTAATTAGATTAGTAATTAGAGCATTTGAGAAGCGGAGGCAGGAGGATCAGGTGTTCAAAGCCAGCTTATTAATATAGGAAACCTTCTCAAAACACAAACAAAAGCCAAACCTGGTTGGGTAAATCAATGACCCTGCCTAAATAAACACCACAAAACCAATCATTACACTCAAACCACACACACAAGGATTGTTTGATTGTCTATTTGTTTGTCTGTCTATCTACATATATCTAAAGCAGGCTAGGAATCTGGGATAGGAGAGAGCAAGGATCTTACAAGCCAAGCAGGTAAGACCTTGCTGTGTTTGGTTAGGTTGCTGAGGAGTCCACGTGAGGAGAACGGACTCAGAAAGAGAAAAGAGTGTTTCCGAGGACGTGGGATCCAGTGTTTGCTTGTTCGTTTACGTATTTATTATTTTTACGGCAGGGGCTCACTATGTAACTAGGTTAGGCTTAGCTTTAGCCTTGAGTTCAGTGCTGGGTCTGCAGGTGGGCACCACCCAGCCTGAAAGATACAAGAGTCTTTTAAAGAAGAATCTCCCGTAGATGGTCTTCGCCTGCCAGTCAACCTCTGCCGGATGCCAGCTGGGTACCCACCACCACCATCATGACCGAGGTGGTCAGCCTGGAGCATGAGAAACCAGGCGGAACTCAAGTCGCGAGCGCAGCGTCGCTTGCGGACCGCGGAGAGAATGCACACCGGAAGCGGCCCTGAGAAGTGAATATGGCGGCTGCCTGTGGCCTCCGCTGGGGCCTGAGCCGAGCTGGAACCTTGTTGCTTCCGCCGTCCGCACGCTGTGCTCGCCGGACTCTGCACAGACAGGTAGATGGCACCGAGTTCCAGAGCATCTACAGCCTGGACAAGCTCTACCCTGAGTCCAAAGGCGTGGATACCGCCTGGAAGGTCCCGGTGAGCCGAGGAAGGAGGGAACGGAAGGGGCGGTTCCTCTCGCTGCTAGGTGACGCGAGGAAGCCGGGCTGCGTGGAATGTTTGGTTGCCCCGGGAGGAACTTGTCCTAGCAGCTGGGGGGCTGGGAATGTAAGGTGTGGTAGCCCTCGTGGCTCGAATAGTGCAGGTCTGGGAGAGAGCCCGCCACATACGCGTCTTTCAAGATCACCAGTTTTTCTACATTTGTTTCTCGGTCTTTCAGGCCTACAGTCTATAGAAAAATGTGCACTGTGTACCTTCAAAGTGAACAATAAAAGCAGGGGCCCGCAATTTGGACCTTACCGGGTCTTTTGCCCTTATTAACGTCAGGAACCTGAGACAAGGCTTGTTGGTTCCTTCAGGATCCGTATTTACCCTCCTGCATGTAGACAACACTGCATCAGGCCAGAGCAGGAGAAAGGGAACCTATTGAGCTGCACCTAGAGAATTGAAAGAGCATCAAGTATATTCATTCATTCATTCATTCATTCATTCATTCATTCACTCACTCACTCACTCACTCACACCACATTCAGCAGATTTCTCCTGAGAGCATGCTGTGTCACAGTGCTAATTTGGGGCAGAGAGTAGTAAAACAAATCTTACATCTGTGGAGCTTATCATATACTGGAGGGTGACAGACAAAAATAAATTAATAAACCCAAGTAACACTGATTATGATGCTTTAGAGAAAATAGACCCAGAAGAAGTGAAGCTAGAGACACAGTTGCAGGTTTATTGTTTTGACAAAGGAATTCATGTAACCTAGGCTAGCCTCAAACTTGCTACATAGCTAAGGGTGGCCGTGAGCTCCTGATCCTTCCACCTTCATCTCCTGTGTGTAAAGATTACTGGCATGTGTCACTGTACTGGCCTATATGTGTGTTGTAAGAAAGGCTCTTTAAAAGCCCTGGCTGATCTCCAATTTGCAGTGTTCCTCCTGGGTCTCTCTGCCCCTGAAATGCTGAGATCACAGGCATACACTACCAAACCCTGATTAGAGTTGCAGTTTTAAGTAGAGTGAGCTGGTAAAGCCTGGAAGAAGTGGGGCACAGTAGATCTTGCAGCAGAGGCAGGAAAATCAGAAGTTCAGGACCAGCCTGGATTATACGAGACCTCGTCACAGCAAAGACCTGGAAGAAGAAAACATGAGAATCCCAGGGAACTGAGGGGTCTGAAGCAGAGTGAACAGCAGGCATAACCACCTCAGGGCACTACTGTGCTGGACAGGTGTGCCTGAGCAGGGCAGTCTGATGAAGCGAAGCTGAAGAGGAGAGAGTGAATGGAGGCCTGGAATGGAATGATACAATGTAGCTTTACAAGCCTGAGAGTTACAGACAGTAGCCTGGAGAATGGTGAGTTAGGCTTCAATAATATAGACAAGAAAGAATAAGCAGGGTGGAAGCAATAGGAGTTTTGCAGATGGAAGATTCTAGGCATATTTTGAAGAAAGTCAATAGGACTCGCTACTAGATTTGATAGAATGAGAACAAGCTGAGTATATGAAAGTGTGGTTGAACAAAGAGGTTTACTTTGAGCCTGGAAGTTTGGAGTCACCAATATAGATGGCATTTTCATCAGCTTAGATGGATGAAATGTTTTAGGGAGAGAGAAGAAAGATTTCAGTGGCACATCAGAGTTTTAGCCATCACAGAGAGCTAGTAAGGGGATGTTAGAGAGAGGCATACAGAGGCAAGAGAAAAACCTGAGGGTGTCTTAGCAAAGAGGTGTGTAGTCTTCAGAAAGAGAGAAGTCAGCAGGATGAGGATTCCACCACCCCAATTCTGAAGATAAGAGGGATGAAGGAGGCATCGAAGGGGGTGCAGGTGAGGACACTTTGGTTTGGAGGCCAGAGCAACCTCTGGGGACAGTGTTTGCTGGATGATGAGGTTCCTGGGGATTTAGAGTTGGAGGGTATTGCTGCTGAATGAACAGCTTGCCCGAGGAGGAGGCCTGGTATGAGTAGCTCAGTCTGTCACGAGCCCTCCGGGCAGGTGAGCAAGGGTCTGTTCAAGGCAGACTGCCTCTGGTGGCAGCTTCCTGTGGCACCGGAAGGAGCAGGGTGGCCCACTAGGATTGTTGCACCAGGTTGCTGGAAGGTAGTGTTTAGTGTCCTTCCTGTGTGTTCTTTGTCTTGTCTCATCCACCCCGTCCCCGGGGACAGCGGAAAGCATGAGCTAGATCTTCTTAGAGGAGTGCTTCTGAGGTAGTGCCTGAGTGTGTGTGTGTGTGGGGGGGGCGGGGGGGTGGCGAGGTTGACAGCATTATTTTGCTGGAGGCCTGAAAAGAATAATCCATAACTTCTTTAAAACGTGTATTGCATTTATTTGTGTGTGGGGGGGGGGGGTCTGGGTGCACATCAGTGGACAACTCACAGGAGTTGGTTCTCCCCTTCTACCATGTGAGTCCCAGGGAACCTACAGGTGAACTCAGGTTGTTGGGCTCGACTTTTTGGAAGTGCTTTTGCCCACTGAGCCATCTCTTCAGCCCAAAATATAACATTTGACTTGTAACTTTATGTTACTATAATTATCATCATCATCATCATCATTGCTGTCTTGGGACAGTTAGGTGTAACCCGGCAGATGACTTCTCTCTCTGACAGTATGTATATTATCGTGTTACAGGAGCATGCAAAACAAACAGGCAGTGACATCCCTCTAGGTAAGTAATTTTATTGAAAAATCAGACATTTTAGGTTATGGGTCTGACTTAGTTGTTGGCATACTTTTTTAAAACCCTTATTTACATTTCTTTTATTTTTTCTCCCTACTCCACCCCAATTCCTTCCAACACCCCAACACCAGGTAGGAGAGAGAAAGGGTTAGTGGGAGAGGGGGCACAGTTCTCTTAGCTGCTTCCTGCTGGTTAGGGTCATTGGGTTCCTGGAAGCCAGTCCAGGCCTTGTTTCAGGAGATGTTCAACTTCTTGTATCATTGCAACAGGAGCTGAAGGGGGGCAAGAAGCAGCAGCCTTTCTTTTTCGAAGCCCTCACTCTCTGGGCTCTGGCATTTATTCTCTCTCCAGAGTCCTCAGATTTAAACCATCTGCAGCTGGCAAAGGGGCATGAGGCAAATAGTCTGCTGCTGTGGATGGTCTGAATCAGTCTCACATCCTACACCTGAGTCCAAAACAAGACCATGTTTATATCCACATTTCCCCCCTGTTTAGAAAAATGGCTTTTCTTTTAATATAAACAAAACTTGCTATTGCTTTCTTGAAAGGAGATAATCAAGGAACCAAACCCTTTTGGATCAGTAATTTCTTTTATAACCTGATGACTTTCAGCTTCTCTTGTCAGGAGTTCAAGGCCAGCCTTGGCTCCATAGCAAGTTCAAGACAGCTTGAGCTATGTGAGACCCTATCTCAGGACAAACAACCAACCAATCCTGTACCTGCCAGACATAGACAGGGCCTCATAGCTGTGGCCTAGAAAGAAGTATTGAGCTCCCCCAACACGCTGTTTTGGTTTTAGCTTGGCTTTTTTTGGTTGATTGATTGGTTTTTTGTTTGTTTTTTTTTTTAAGACATGTTCTCACTATGTAACCCAGGCTAGTTTGGAATTCATTATATAGCCCAGGCTATCTCAGAATTATAATAGTTCTCCTACCATCTTGCCCAGTATTGCTCTCTTTAAAATCAAAGGGTATATGGCTCTTACAGACTGTTAAAGGGAGGATAACCAAACATGTTGGCACTCCTTTGTTAGGGTGACACCAAAACAAAGACTACAATACAGTCATAGGACGCCCAGTAACCACAGAGCCAAGGTGGTACTGCATGGAGGCAGACCTGCAGCCTGCAGCTGGCTAAGGGGTGCCTGTGGAGACCAAGGGAGACCTCATCTCAGTGACTGGGGAAACAGGCATTCCGCTCAGTGAGCAGCAGTTGCCTTTCCTGGCTTCCTGCATTCTCTGAGGGATCATACAGCATTGTGTTTCAACAGACTCAGCTCAGCCAGCATGACCCACATGTGCTACATGCAAGGTTGTGAGGCTCTGTAGTGCAGCCATTCCCGTGCAGTACCAGGTACCTTGGTTATCTAGTTAGAACAAGGTTTAACTGGCTTTTGTAAAGGAGGGAGACCTGGGAGGTGGTCTCAAGACCGAGCACCACTTCCTGCCACCATGCTGCCACAGAACTTCAACACCCATGCAGCTGGTCTTATTGCGTTTCCAGCTCCTGTGTCTCCCCTACCCAAATGCTATTTAAGCCTTTGCACAATACAGAAATGTGAGGAAGGAGCCAGGCATTGGTGACGCACTCTGCAGGCAGATCTCTGAGTTGGAGTCCAGCCCGGTCTACAGAGTGAGTTCCAGGATAGCCAGGGCTACACAGAGAAACCCTGACTCTAAAACACAAACAAGCAATAAGGCTTTGACAAGAAGCCATGGGGCTTTGCCAGGATCATATATAGTTAGTGGCCACACTGCCTTTCTGGGTGAGAGCCCCCCACTAAAGGTTAAGTTCTCATCCATCTGGCAGATAATTTCAACCCAGACCATGAGCTTGGCCCTGAGAACACACAGCCAGAAACAACACTGTCTTGTGCCTGTCTGACTCACTGTGTACTTTGTGCTGGAGGTGTCAAGCTCCACATCCTCCTCCCTCAGCCACTGGTGCTAGCACCTCAAGGAGCTTGCCATCCCACTCATCTGGTCTTCTCCCCTTCAGCCTCTGGCCCAGCAGGATTTCAGGTCCACCATGCTTTGAATTGTGTGAGGCTGAGTCTGTCCCTTAGCCTAAGCCTCTGAAAGAGTCTTCACTTTAACACAAACCCAGAGCAGAAGGGTGTGGTAGAAGGTGCTAAACTTGGGAGTCCTTGGGACATCTGTGAATGCTGTCCAGGTGATCTGATCTGATCTGTATGGTGTGGGGAGGGGAGAGGTGTGGAATAGTCATGTTGACTAAATTAGCACTCTACAGACTTGGCTTGGGGGAATCCTCGTGTGTGTTCTTCACTTCACAGATCGGTTGAACATATCTTACTGTCGGAGCAGCGGCCCTGGGGGGGCAGAACGTTAACAAAGGTACAGGCCCCGGGTTGTTCCCTTTGCTTGAAGCCTCGGCTGGGAGATGGAAGAGGCGACTCTGCAGCTCTGCGTTCACATTCCTGTGGAATAAAGGGGTTTTTCTGCTCAGCTCACACACCTTCAGCTTATAATAATCCTTTCTATTCTTCTGAATGTGGCCGATTGTCTGCTTCTCAGCTGTGGGTTGCTAAGACTAGGATTGGCTTTTGAGGATAAACAAAGAGAACTCACAGCATGAGCCGGCAGCCTGCTTGTTTCCACAGAGAACAGGTTTCCTTTGCTCTCATGAGACCCAACCTCCCCCCAACCCCTTGCTGTTTTCAGAGTCCAGTAAAACAGTCATGAGAGTTATGAGAGGCCCTGGAAATTTGGATATCAGGAGTCCAGTTTTATACCAAAGAGCCTTGCAGGCTTGTTCCATGGCCAGATTCAACATAGGCTAAAATGTTCCTGGTTGGGTGGTTGGTTGCTCTTGGCTTCAGGACAGTTCCTGACCGCCTGGGCACGGTGGCTTCCTAAGAGTCTCAGGATCACTTCTTCCTTCCCATGCACAGTGAACTCTAAGGCTGAGGTGAGGTTTCACTTGGCCAGCGCAGACTGGATCGCCGAGCCTGTCCGCCAGAAGATTGCGCTCATGGTACCACCCCTTTCAGTCCCTGTGGATCCCTGGGGTGGGGATAGGCTTGTGGGCCTTGTGGTGTTCCTCATTTTCCTCCTTGGCAGCATAAAAATAAGATCAACAAGGCAGGGGAGCTGATTCTTACCTCTGAGATCAGCCGCTATCAGTTCCGGAATCTGGCAGAATGCCTGCAGAAAATTCGAGACATGATTGCCGAAGCCAGCCAGGAGCCCAAGGAGCCGTCCAAAGAGGACGCTCAGCTTCAGAGACTCAGGTACAAAAACACTCTGGCAGCAAGCGGGTTTATGGGGACCAGGGCAGGGAGGCCAGGAGCTTCCCTCAGGGGCGATAGGGAAGCTGCTGAGAGGAGCAAGGTGCTGACCCAGGCCAGGTGCACATCTGGCTCCTGCTGACTGGGCTGCTTCGCTCACGCCTCAGCTTCCAGCTTTGAAAAGCACTGATTGCACATCTGGGCCTCATTGCTGTCCTTTGTTTTCAGAATAGAAAAAATGAATCGGGAAAGACTACGACAGAAAAGAATAAACTCCTCCATAAAGACGAGCAGGAGGGTGGCCATGGACTGAAGTCACCCACACTGCTGGCAAAGACCGGGGTCCACGAAGCTCTGCAGAGAAGACCTTTCTTGATTAAGTGGAGCCTTGCCAGAACGTCCTTTGCAGAGAAGGCTTTGGGTCATCCAGGGCTACCCCTCCGTTGTGTGCCTCATGTACTACTAATAAACCTCTAAGAACAGGAGCCTGGCTCTTCAGTTGGAGCTTTGCAATAGAGCTCCCACCTTTCAGCCTAAACCCACCCCACAGTTGCACACATAGAGCAGCAGAGGATTGTGGGTCAGGCCACAAGGAGCACACAGCTAGGAGGGCTGAGACAGGTGAGCAGGCATTTGAGCTGGACCTTCAGAAAGACAAACTGAGCACAACTGGGCAGGAAGGAAGCTGAGTGGGAGGCCAGGGATGTGAAATGACAGATTGTGCAGGAAGCTTTTGAGGAGCTCCTGGGAGGAAGACATGTTAGAGCCTCAAAATCTCCTGAGCCTACACCTGCAGGCCAGAGGCTTAGGGGTTACTTGTGTAGTGGGTGAGCATTTGTGTGCCATATGCACGTGCAGAGGTTAGACAGCAAGTTGCAGTCACCTCTCTTCCACCATGAGGATGGGATGCAAGTCTCAGGCTTACGGGCAAATATCTTTCCTTGCCAAACGTTTCCCTAGCCCTCGTTTTATTTATTGTTATGGGGGGGGGGGGTCGTGCGTGAAGCATAGTACATGTCTGGTATCCAGAGGCAACTTGTGGGAGTCAGTTCTCTTCCACCATGTAGGTCCTAGGGTCCGGTCCGGTCAGGCCAGCCACAAGCACATAGCTGCTGAACCATCTCTCCCCTGCAGGTGGTTTTTATCTTGTCCTCTCATTTCTGGTTGGTTGGTTTGTGTTTTGTTTTGTTTTGCTTGAGACAGGGTCTTTCTGTGTAGCCCTGGCTGTCCTGGAACTAGCTCTGTAGACCAGGCTGGCCTTGAACTCAAAGAGATCCTCCTGCCTCTGCTTCCCTAGTGCTGGAGCTAAAGGTGTGCACCACCACTGCTGGGTTCCTCCCCCTTCACTTTTAAAAACAAAAATGAAAGCCAGAGAGGTGACTCGGTGGGTAGAAGACCTGGCTGCCAGGACTTCACGAGTTTGATCCCTGGTTCCCACACGGTGAAAGGAGAGGACTGACCGGTAAGAGCTGGCTTCTGACCTTCACAAGATCTGCGGAGCCTTCACATGTACACACAAATATAACTTCATATTTTTTAATAAAATAAGCTTTGCCCTGGTCAAATCCCCGTGACAAGCCAGAATTTGGATTCCATATTAGTTTGAAATTTGAGCACCATTAGTGTCAGGCAGAAGGCAATCATCTACAGGAAATAAAACCTGCTAGGCTGCAAGGTAATTCTTTATGGTTTGTACTTCTGCCATCATTTTATTCTGCTCCTGGGTTCTGGCATGCAAGAGAATCCATGCCTAAAATTTAATACCTCCAAGTTGATAATAGCTCTCACTTGCTTGGGTGGGGGTCATAACAATTCCATGATTAATCTTGTTACCAGTTCCCCGGGTCTGGACCCAGTGGCTCCTCTATCACTGTTTCCTACAATGGCCATGACTTCTGTTTCTTCCCAGTCTCCACATAGATCCAAATGCTTTCAAATTCCAGTATCATTTAGCTCCAAGCCTGTTGGGGTTTGTTCCCCTCTGCAGCACTTAGTGTAGTCAGCACTGAGAAACAGACCAGGGAACTGTGCAGACTAACCTTGGGAGTAATTATTCCACACGGATAAGTCATTCATTTAAAAAAAAAAAATGCTCCCTGTACTCAATTACATTATTAAAAACCGTGCATACCTATCCTTTCAAGCCCCCGCCTTTTCTCAGAACCTCAACGCCTACTGTGAAGCCATTGCTCAATCATCTTTCCCATACTGCTATGCGCCTTCATTCCCTAGGTTCTTTAAGTGCCTTTTAACATTTATTGCAGTATTAAGATCTCCCTCCGTGTCTATCTCCCTCCTTTTTCTCTCTTCCCGCCCCTTCTTTGACACCCTCCCTTTCTGGGCATTACGTATTTGCAAAGGACGAACAGAGTGTATAAATGTTTCTGTCGTGACTAGAACGATCGGGAAGAGTTTCAGTGCTTATGTTTCGACATTGTGAGTGAAAATTATTTCTCGTCCTTTCTGGAGTCACTGTCGGTTCTTTAGAGGTGTGCCCTGGGGGAGGGTGGAAAATTGGCGCCCCGGAAACTTCCGCTCGTTCCCCGACCCGGTGTGCAGCTGGAGCTCGGCGTTGGCTCAGCTCGGACATCTTGGTTGTCGTCCCCATTTCTCCCTAGGGCAACAACCGAGAGGTGCCCGTTAATGCGCGCATTCAGAGGCATAGTCCATCAGAACGGAAAAGGCGGCAGCCCCGCGCCGTGGGCCCCAGTGGCCTAATGGATAAGGCACTGGCCTCCTAAGCCAGGGATTGTGGGTTCGAGTCCCACCTGGGGTGGCCTGCTCTTACTTTTGGAGGCGAGAGTCGTGCGTTTACTTACCGCTGGGCCCTCAACAGCCCTTCAATGCCCTTCCCGTCCGCAGCATGTGCGTCCCCTAATCCTCAAGGATTTTGAAGCCCCGTTCATAGCGCTAAAAACAAAAACAGACCGCACCAACTCTACCCCAGGTGGGACTCGAACCCACAATCCCTGGCTTAGGAGGCCAGTGCCTTATCCATTAGGCCACTGGGGCGCGATAAGCTGCGTGGGGCACGTGGTCCGTGATAGCGCGGCGCGCTGACGTGGCCGGCCCTGCCCCGGAACGGTGACCTAGCGCCGCGGCTCCGGCCCGGACCCCGGACACGGAGGGCTCCCCGGCCCGGAGAGAAGCCGGGCGCACCGCCAGGCGTCGGGGAGCGCGGCGAGGCGGGCCGCGGCGGCGCCCGAGCGCAGACGCCACAGACCCACCCACCGCTCGGCTGCGGGCGCAGCTCCTGTCCTTCATCAAACAAGACGTTCTAGCGCAGCCCCGGCCCCAGTGAGACCGCGTGGCCTAATGGATAAGGCGTCTGACTTCGGATCAGAAGATTGAGGGTTCGAGTCCCTTCGTGGTCGAAACGTTTTCATCCCGATGGTTATCCTTTCAGTTGAATGTAAGAATCGACCCCCTCATTTTAAAAGGAAAAAGACGTTTCCATACACCCAGAACTGGTGATAAGCCCTTGGATTCGGCATTGGAAAACTTCCTGTTGTGACCTCTGTTTACCTTTTAGGAGTCGAATTATAGAGCACTGCGGCCAGAAAGTTCTAGAGTACTAACGTGTAAGGAAGGTACTTTTAAGCAAGGGTTTTGGTGTTCCGAGTCCCATCTGAAATTGGTTTCCTGTTGTTTGTTCTAGATTTACTTCTGTGATATCCATGGCCTTGCTAACTTCAGACTTGCTGTCCATTCACCTTAGCCTCCAGTGCTAGAATTGTAGGCATGTACCACCATGTCGCTTGCAGCCTAAAACGTGTGTATATGTGTTTGTATGTCTACATGTATCTATTTAACTCCTGAATGAGACAGTCCGCCAGGGAAGATGCGCAGCTGCACTCCATCCTCTCCTGCTGTTCCTGTGAGAGATAGCCTTCGGATGCCGCGCAGAGGCTGAGCACCCCGAGTAGCTCTCAGCCCTGGCACAGCGCACGGCTTGTGCTTCCACGGGAGCCCTCACCACCCTGAGTGAGGGAGGGGTGTGGGGTGGAGGCAAGGTTAGTGGAGCAGGCCGCAGGAACCCTGCTGCGACACAGGTGGGAGCGCCACCAGGCCTGGGGTCTGTTTTTAACTGAACAGTTGTTTCCTTCGTAGAGATACTAACATCAACGTCTGCACTTTTTTCTGCATGTTTCATTAGCAGATGATGTATTGGTTTATAGAGGGGGCTGGCCTTGAATTCACAGAAACCGAGTGTTCTCTGCCCCCGGCCGAAATTCCGGGTTAGAGTGCACCCTCACACCTGGCTGTTTTGTTGTGTCTGTTCTTGAAGTGCAGTAAGAATAGTTCCTAGACTCGTCTGAAGCAAGAACATTTAAGAATATGATAAAAAACCGGGGAAGGTGGTGCGAAACTGTAATCCCAGCGCTCAGGAGGCAGAGGCAGGCAAATCTCCATGAGTTCCAGAACAGCCTGGTCTAAGAACGAGTCCAGGACAGCCAAGGCTACACAGAGAAACCCCATCTCAAAAAAAAAAAAAAAAAAAATCTGACAAAGCAATCAATGTCTCCTAGGGTGGATCATCCCCAAACGCAGACAGAAGGTAGTAAATAGGTCCATCCGCTGGAGCTCATAGACTCTCACATGTAGTTATACCTTTAATGTCCAGACAACACAATACCAGAGTTGTCCCTAGGTCATGGGACTGGCACCCCACTGATGAGCTCTGGGTTCTTCACGCAGGCCCAACCCTACAGACTGGGGACACCAGACTGACCCTTGGTCATGCTCTCCCTCCAGGATTTAAGCTCCAGCAGGTGAGATGGGGTACTCACGGCAACTTGGCAGGCTACCTCACTAGTTCTCACGGCAATCCTGACACTTGTGAGGGCAGTAGAATCCCAAGACAGCTAATTCAACAACTGCGCCCTGGTCACAGGTCCTGACTTCAGGGCTGTCCCCTCTGACCACCGACTTTTCATCTTTCCATTTTGTATGTGTGATATAGGGGTCAGGACACACATCCAGAGGTCAGAAGACACCCTACAGAGAACGTCCCCTCCACAGTGTGGCCACTGGCTCTGCTGTTTCAGCAGCCCGCAGGCCACAGTGACTGGTATGTTACAGTTTGCCCTTAAGACAGCTGCTTCTGGTGGGACCATGTCACAAGTGTTACCTACTTAGAGACAACAGTGAGCACTGTGTAAATGTTTTATTTCAGTGTGGGACGGGCTCCCCCCTGGCCCACTTCACAAGTTCTCGATGGGCTGGTGGGGCCAGTAGGGGTACTTCTGCTTGTCTAGCTTGGTTTCTGGGAAGGCTTCATTCAGGTCATCAATGGTCATCTGGTCAAAGGGAATCATGTTCTTCATTTTCTCCAGCTACAAAGAGCAGAAATGTGTTAGCTGTAGGAAAGAGGCAAGGCCACCAAGATCCAAGACAAGAATCCAAGGACGATCACTGCCATGTGGGCAGAGATCATGTCACAGAAAGAGGCCGTGGCTTGTCCTCACCTGCTTCTCGTATTCCTGGATCCTGACCTGGGATTCAGACACGAACTCAGCACAGCTCTTCACCTTTAAGAGAAAGGGAAAGTCTTGATTAATGGAATGCAAATCTGCAACATATCTTGTACAACACTTTTCTAAATTATTTTTTAAGAATGTGACATATTGTTTTGTTTGTGAGAAGCTGAATTTTTCTGTTGCCTTCATTTTCATCTTATGGTTTGTCTTTTTTGATAATGGCCTTATGTTAAAAACCATAAACAAATATGAAAGAGAGAGAAAGGAGAAACTGTCCTGAAACCAGACTGTACCCTGCCCTGAGCATGAGGTGCACAGGCCTGCTCCTTTCCCACTGCCATCTACAGATGAGCTTGGCTGGCCTAGTCTTGAATGCTTTTGTAGGGGACAAACTACAGCTCACCCAACACCCACAAGCAGGAAAGTAGTTTAGCACTGATCCTGACTAGTCAAGATAAATCAGGTGGTTCCTAGGCCAGGTTCCAGTGTTGGCCTGAGGTATTTTCAAGCTAATTAGGTATCTGAGTGCTGAAGAGCTGTCTTTTCAAACTGATGTCCTGTTTTTAACAGATGTGTTGGGTGTAAAACAACACTGAAATACACATACAGGCTTCCGCTGTCTCCGCTGGCCACACTGTCAACATACTCAGGAACAGTGACGTATTCACCAGCTCACCCCCACCCTTCCCCAAGCAGCCTCTCAGGCAGTTTAGTCTGTCACTCAAGATTAACTGCAGTTCCTAGAGATTTATAAAGACAGTGCCTCGCTGTGCAGCTTTGGCCGGCCTCCAACTCAGAGATCTGCCTACCTCTGCCTACAAGTGCGAGACAGTAAGGGCTACACCGCCAGGCCTGCGCTGCTGTCTTCTTTTACTCAGTATTATCTTTACGTTCATTCATGCTGCTGCATTCATTAGCAACCCGTTCCTCATGATTCTTACAACACTTTAATCATCAACTGAATTGACTATCTACCCTTGCTACTAAGAAATATGATCGTCACTAAGAAAACTCCAGGATCTGACCAGAGTGATCTATTCCTAAAATGCAAACACAGGAGGATCACCATGAGTTTGAGAGAGAGAGGGAGAGTTACACAGTGAGACCTTACAAAAGAACAAACAAAAATCCAGAAGATTTTAGAGATTAAAAAAGAAGCACCCACTACTTACATCCTCCTTTTCCTCGTTGTTCACCAGGGCTGTGTATTTATCTTCGGGCACAGGAATAGTTAGGGCTTTATACTATAAACAAGGACAGAGATGTCACCTTTGTACCCAAGAGCCTAAAGGCCTGAAAGCCCCTACTCCTTACAGACCACATGGAAACCCTCTATCCCTTCAGTGTTTTCTGGTGTTGTGGTGGAAGAGCTGGAAGGCCTCCTCAGCCCATCACTAATCACCCAAAGGACCTTCCATATTTCTTTATCACAACAAGCATTAGTTTCCTCCTCTGAAAAGGGTTAGTACACTTGATAATAGCTACTTAGCATCTTGCAGTCTAAGAAATTCTTTTTCACACAAAACCTTCAAGGGCTGACTGACAAGAATCATATTTGCATTATAAAGGTAGAAATGGTTGTTTAGAAGATTATTTAGGGTTACAGCTGTGGCAATGTATGCTAAGTCACGCAGAGCAGGCTTTCTAGAAGAATCTTCAAATAAATAAGCAAATGAACTCTGGGTATTGAGACATATTATTGCACTTAATATGCAGGTATGGAAAGAAGACAGATCACTGATGGGGCTGATGAGATGGCTCAGCGCACTGACCGCTCTTCCAGAGGACCCAGGTTTAATTCCCAGCACCCATATGGCAGCTCAAAAGTCTACAACTCTAATTCCAGGGCATCTGATATCCTCAGCAAGCTTCTTTTGGCACCAGCTATGCAATGGTACACAGAAATATACGCAGGCAAAACACCACACACGTGAAATTAATTTTTTTAAATAAAGAAGGAGGAGACAGAAGGGCCGGGGGTTGAAAGAAGGAAAACATGTTAGTTTATAAAAAGGAGACAGGTAGGAGAGCTAGCTCTGGCAGCCTTTTAGCTCCTGAGAGCAAGGCTGCCCTGCACTCCTAAGTGCCTGGACCCTGATACTCTATAGGTGCTTAATAAACCTTTGGCCGGGGCTGGAGAGATGTCTCAGAGGTTATAGAGCACTGGCTACTCTTCCAGAGGTACTGAGTTCAATTCCCAGCAGATACATGGTCGTTCACAACCACCTATAATGAGATCTGATACCCTCAAATAAATAAAACTTAAATAAGTAAATAAATAAACCTCTGGCCATACCCCCTCCCTCTTCCCCAGCCCCTTATAAGAGTTTTAGCAGTATGAAGGCTCACCTTCTTTTCAAAATCATCCACCAAGCCAGCCTTGGCCACATTGGCCCTGTAATAAGCCCAGTCAATCGCTGGTGGTTTCTCAGGCAGATTAGCCAACCTGCTCAAATGGAAAAATAAAACTCAGGACTGAATCAACCAAGACACTGCTCACACAGCAATCTCCCTATGACTTATCACACTGGAATATCAGCACACTTTCCCCTGAAGGGCTACCACAAAAATCCCCAAAATGCTTTCATTTGCCAAACACAATTTCTTTACTCTGCCAGACTATTAGAAATCCCTCTGTAGGGCTGGAAAGATGGCTAAGTGGGGACAGTAACTTGCAGCTAAACCGAGGACCTGTGTTCTATACCTGGTAACTCCCGTGGTAAGAGGAAGAGAGCCAACTCCCACAAGTTCTCCATGTGTGCTCCAGGGCACACACAGTGGCAGATATGCGCTCATATGCACACTAAATAAATGCAACAAATGCCAAAACATTGTTTCTAGGTGCAGTGACAAGTATGGAGGTGGGGGTGCAGGACCAGGGGCTCCTTCTCACAACATGCTGACCTGGTGTGGAGGGTCTCATTCCAAGACTTTAGGGCATATCCAATCGTCTTTTGGTTTCCGGGTACAATCTCCCCAAAAGCTACCCAATCAATGGTTTTTAGAGCAAGTTTACGCCCAGCCATCTTGGGATCCTAGAAAACAAAACAGGTCAAGATTAAACAGTGCCTTTGGAGAGAACCCCTGAAGGAGAGCATCTCAGGGAAATCCAAGTCTTTAAGCAACAGGTCAGCATCATTTAAGCATTTGGTGGTATATGCAACAGATAAAGGAATTAGGACTTAGCCAGATAATGGGCCTAGGAATGTAGCTCAGTCGTTAGACTGCTTGCCAACCACGGACAAAGCCATGGGTTCCCTCTCCAGCACCACATAAGCTGAGGGGTAGGCAGGAGAATCAAAACAGAGTCATCCTTGGTTCCACAGTGAGTTCAAGACTACCCTAGAATACATGAGTGCCTGCCTCAATAAAGCTGTATAACACAAAGTATAAATATATCTTCTCCTCCTAGGCTGCCCTCCCTCTATTCCAACCCTTTATCTTTAGAAGCCCATGTCTACTTTTTGCTCCATATGTGTCTTTGCAAACACTGCTAAATGATGTCATAAACATCACAAAAGCTAAGTAAATAGCAACTGTGTTTTAGCCACTGGCTCTCTACCATACAGAAATCTGAGACAGAAAACATGACAAGGCTTCAAAATGAGCAAGTGTTCTCATCTGCAAATTGGGAAAAAGAGCTGTTAAAAAAAATACCAAGTGAAACTGTGAGCATCAATTTGCCCTACTGTAATACAGGCTTCAGGGGTCCTTAAGCCCTGTCATACACTCAAACCTTCATATTCATGTCATGTTGTCCACAACACACATGCCTTGCACTTTCAGAGGCATTTTTACACAAGTGAAAAGATAGTGAGATAAGAAAGTGACTGAAGTTGTCTTGAGACCAAAACACCACAAAATACAGAAAATAACTGCGACCAGAGTACCCTAACTGGAAACCGTCTGCACAAGCTCTGAGTGGATTGCAGGCATCGTGGACGATACCTTCCTAAGATCAAAGCTATCAAATGCCAGTCTCCTTCCTTCCTTCCTTCCTCCCCTCAGATCACCTTACGTCTCTAGGAGGAGAGAGGCTAAGGCGAACTAAAGATGCCAGAGAACGAGGTACACTTTGTTAAACACGAGGAGGAAGGCAGATGTCACAGACTTCTTGTTTTCTGGTTAATCTCTAGCGCTGGTGGTTTCTCAGCTTAACCAACCTGCTCACAGGGAAACAGGTCACGACCATAAGACCTGACCATAAGAATGACCAACAGTTACTTGATCAGCCTGTAGACCTCAGTGTTACCCACTAGGAATCCCAGAACCCTCCATAGGCAGGGGAGGACGTAGCCTTGCTGCCTGCTGGGTGTCCTATACCCTCTGAAAGGCTATCAACATGGCTATGTGATGTTTCCCCAACCCCTAAACTGCACTTCTGAGGTCGCCACACAGTGTGAGACATGGTTTGAGGCAACAGCTACGGTGACTGGCCAAGTCACGACCAAGTCATTGCCAGGCCCCAGCCTCGCACGGCGGGAAGGGTGAGCAGGGCAAAGCAATGACCTCGGGCGCTGGGCCAGCGGGGCAGCTCGAAGGCCGACGTCCTCCGCGGAGGTGGAACAGGCGACGGAGGGAGGTCTGGGATCTAATGCAGAAGAACCCGTGGGGATCGGACCCATACCTCGAAGCGCACTCACCTTCACCGACCCCGACGGACCGCTGTCACCGGCGGCAAGGAGCGGAAGTGTACTGACGGAAGTTCTCCCTTCGGCCAGTCCGAAAGCGCAATGGTTGGGACTTATTTTACACATCAGCCAATGATCGTGGCGCCGCGTTCAGGAAGTCCCGCCCTCGAAGGCGGACGCGACGCCTGCGCCGTCGGGGTCTCTGCTGGTTGGGGGCCCTCCCGTCCCTTTCCCCCTGCCCCACCCCCGCCGATGGGCCGGCCCGGCTCTCCCTGCCGAGGAATGGGCCGGCCCGGCGGCGCGCGGGCAGCAGCGGCCCAAGATGGCGGAGCTGCAGCTGGACCCGGCGGTTGCGGGGCTGGGAGGGGGTGGCGGGAGTGCGGTGGGCGACGGAGGAGGCTCGGGCCGCGGACCCCCCAGCCCTCGTCCAGCCGGCCCCACGCCCCGCGGACACGGCCGCCAGCCCGCCGCCGGCGCGCAGCCGCTGGAGCCGGGGCCCGGACCTCCGGAGCGGGCGGGGGGCGGCGGGGCGGCCCGCTGGGTCCGGCTGAACGTGGGCGGCACCTACTTCGTGACCACCAGACAGACCCTAGGCCGGGAGCCCAAGTCCTTCCTCTGCCGCCTGTGCTGCCAGGAGGACCCGGAGCTGGACTCGGACAAGGTGCGCCCCGCCCTCGGGCGCGCCCCCGGGCTTTGGGACCCCCTTCTTGGCTGATGTTCCCATCTCAGGGACGCGCTTCCCTCCAGCAAGTCCTCAACCCCGGGCTTCAGTCCACTCTCGACCCCCTTCCCCCCGGGTTAGCACCGCCACCTCAGAATGCTCTCCCCTCCCCATTCTCCCCCATCTTCATGCACACTCCCTTCTCACCCCGCCCTTTTCTCAGCTGCTCCTTCCAGGCGCCGTTCACGGGAGCCCCCTTCGTACTCCTCTCACATTCTCTGTCCCTCCTGAGAACCCCGCCTTGTCAGGTCTGCTTGAGTTTTTCCCTGGCTCCCGTACAGCCCCTCGCTGGTGGTGTCAGATGCATTTAGAACTGGGTCAGGGTGAATGACCACATCTCACTTTCTCAGGGTTCCATTCCATTCCTGTGCAAAGTGGTAGTAAACTTGGGGTTTAACGACAGCGTCCACCGCTGAAGGCTACAGGAAATGCTTGCGGTAGTGTTACATCCTGTGGCGGTGTTAAAATCCTGGTCGCAGACCTTGTACCGTTTCGGTACATTTTTGGAAGTAAATGCATTCTTGGGAAAGATGATTGCATTTGCCCATGAAAATCCCAGCTGACCCGTTAGGATCCAGGGAATAATGTAGACTGAGGAATGATGTTAACTAAGGTGGACCTCCACTAACCAAAGCGTTACAGGGTGGCAAGACGTCATTCCTTTCCAGTTTGAACTGTAACTTGTGCAGATTCACCTGATCCCCAAATGCATTGGCTGTAGCTTACACCACTCCATGCCACAAAGCAATACCATGATTAACAGTTAGACTTGCATGAGCACCGGTTTCATCTGTTCTGTGATACCAAATTGCTGGGAACCTAACCCATCCTAACTAAAGAGATTCTAGAACTCCTCTTCAGAGGGAATTATTTTTATACACCCTAAATGTTCCTTATGGACACACAAGCCAGTTTCTTGTTTCTTTACTGTAAAGATGAGTAGGATTAAAGCTGCTCTGAGCCAAGTCCTGGCAGTACCATGCTTCCTCTGGGCACAGAGCTAGGGTGTGTGAGATTACAGCTGGCAGTGCTGACTCCCACTGATGCTGGCCTTGGGCTCAGGAGAGTTGCCAATAGAACAGAGGTTTTCTTAGAATTAGGAATGTAGTCCAGGGGCAATGAAGAAATCAAAACGTACAGCGCACAGCTATGGTGTAGCCTTCATCCCCTGTAGCTGGAATCCTACAGAAGAATGGTAAAAGATGGTAGGTCTACCCAGTAAATAAGGGCCTTGCAATGGGGATGACTGTGCACCTATGACATCTGACCTGAAGTGATCTTAAAGCCAGCCTCTCGCCAATAGTTTAAAATAAGCAAACTGTAGCCAAAATAAATAAACAAATGCTTTTTTAGCTGACAGAATGAATCTTGCCTGAGCGCACTGACGGATTAGGGGGAAATGCAATTTAGAGGCTATTCCTGAAAGGCTCACAGTACTTGGTTTGCTTGGTTGACAGGACGAGACCGGAGCATATTTGATCGACAGAGATCCCACCTACTTTGGTCCTATCCTAAACTACCTCCGACATGGAAAACTCATCATTACCAAGGAGTTGGCAGAAGAAGGTAAGGACACCTCACTGGGTGATTTCGAACTTGCAGTTGGTTGAAGCTGCTTTGCAGAGTTCAGTGTTGTTTGGGATTCCCCCCTGGGCTTGTGCAGGTGTTAGTTAGAGAAAGTGGGTCAGCCTCCAGCTCCTGAGCTTGTCTAAGAACCCCCAAGGAAGCTGCACGGGTTCTGTTCAGCCGCCGTAGTGGGCTGCTGTGCTTTGCAGATAATGCATTAGGCCTTTACACCTGCAGAACTGTCAGAGTCCTTTCTTACATGCATTTCATTCTCTGGCAGTGAATGCCTATGACCTAAAGCACCATATCTGTGGTATTCAGTTATTTTTATTCTTTCATTTTTCTTTGGACTTGCAAAAATAATATTAGTAAAGGCCTGACCTCATTTCTTTAAGACTTTGGTCTCAGCGTTTCCTGTGAGGTTGTTCAGCTGACCTGATTCACTCTCCAGCTCATTGTCAGCTGTGTTGCTGGCTGCCTTGTCAGTTTTGCTTTGTAGGGCATTTGGGTTGTAAGTGGGTCTGGTCCTCTGTGTAAAAGGCATGCCTGGTCTCTCTGGAGCCATTCAGTGGAAAATTGGGGTCCTTCCCTAAATCCAGAGCCCCTGATCTAGAACCATTACCTCTGAATAGGAAAGCTTGTAATGGCTATCCTCATTAATGAAGTGGCTTAAAACAACTCCATGACATCTGAGGATTCTTGCTCATTCTCTTGCTCATTCTCTTGCTCATACTCTTTTTTTTTTTTTCATTTACTCTTTCTCCTTGAAGGGAGTCTGTCTATAAATGACCTTAGAAAATAAATCATGGCAGGCAGTGGTGGTCACGTCTTTACTCCCAGCACTCGGGAGACAGAGGCAGATGGATCTCAGAGTTTGAGGCCAGCCTGGTCTACACAGTGAGTTCTAGCACAGCCAGGCTTACATACAAGAGAAACCCTGTCTGGGGAAAAAATCATTACAGATCCATACATAAGTAATAGGAAAAGTGTAATAAATTGCACATGCTCAGTATCCTAAGAGGTAGCTTCTTATAGTCTTTCATAAAAATACTTTCAGTTTTTCATAAAAAATACTTAATCTTGAGCCAGTGAGGTGGCTCAGCAGGTAACAATCTTGTTGCCAAGCCTGACAGCCTGAGTCCAATCCCTGGCACCCACAAGGTGGAAGAAAAGGGTCCGATTACAGCAAACTGTCCTCTGACCTCCATGCCCTGCCCACCCTCACACACAAACAGATAAATATGGTTTTGTTTGTTTTTCTGAGATAGAGTCTCAGTGTGTGGTCCTGGCTGACCTCAGAATCAGAGATCCATCTGCCTCTGCTGGGATCAAAGGCATGCACCACCACACCTGAGAAAAATAAAGAAATGATACAAATAATTTTAAAAACACTTTATTTTGAAATAATTTTGGACTTTAAAAAAAAAGGCATGAATAATACAAAGTTTCCTTTACCAAGATTCACCAGTTTTGGACATTTTTTGGTTATGTTTTCTTTTACCACTGAACTTTGTACCCTCCTTCCAGTCATCTCTACCACCCGCCTCTCCCTCATTCCCTGAGAGTTTTTATTTCTGAAGTGTTTGAGGATAGATTGCAAATTTCATCCCTTAATAATTCTGTGTTACTCTAAAAACAGGAACCTTGCATAATCCTTTTAACAGCTCAGGAAACTTCATATTGATTATTTATCTGCATCATCTTCCTAGGTTGTCAGTTGTTCAATAATGTTCATTAGAGCATTTTTCCTGGTACAGGAGCATACATTCCATAATCACTCTAAGACCTTTGATTTTTTTGCCATGAGAGGAGTCAGTGATTACTCTCCCACACATACATACCTTCTCTGTCAGCTGGGGATCAAACCTTGCTAGGCAAACATTCTGCCCCTGCCCAGCCCTCACTGCCTTTTATTTTTGTTCAGATAATAAATATCCTATTAAATTCTTAAGTTTGTATACATGTCCTACCCACCAGCCCTTTTCAGGGAAAACAGGTAAATACTGCAGGAACAGGAGTTATCCTGTGTGGCAGGATCCAGGAACTAGGTGACATATGGATAGCTAATGAGCAGGTGCCAGGAGGAAGCAGGAGGGATCATATGGGGGGGGGGGAGAAAACCCCTGTGTTTGATTTACTTTAGTGTAAGAAAGGTTATGGGCATGCCCTATATAGCAGAGCAAATTTTCTTAAATTTCCTAGGCTGAAGGCGAGGTGAGATTTGTGTTTGAAAAGTGCAGTTCTTGGAAGGCAAGGCTTGCCTTGCTGTTTTCCTGGTGGCTCACACTTCTGACTACAGGCTGGTCCTTCTTCTAGGTGTGCTGGAAGAAGCAGAGTTTTACAATATCGCATCTCTCGTACGGCTGGTTAAGGAAAGGATACGTGACAATGAGAACAGAACTTCACAAGTAAGGTGTCTGGTACTGCTAAGGACAAAACCTCTCCAGGGGCCTCTGTCTGTGATGTGAAAAGGATGCCTTTCTCCTCAGGGAGAGAGGAACAAAATGGTTCAGAGTGAGCAACTGAAGAGTAGCAGAAAAAACAGAATAGTCCCATCCCTCTAAGATAATGTTTCTTTCCACGGTGGGAAGAGCCCAGGCCACTTTAGGGCCAACACTTGTTCTCCAAGTTGTAGCCCAGCCTGGTCTTACACTCCCCTGCCTCAGTTTCCCTAGTGCTATGATTGCCAGGCCCAAAAAGCTCTTTCCTACTGATAAAGCATCTGTCTCCCTCCATGTGAAGCCCACAGTATCCCTTGCACCTGCCCTTTGCCGGGCCTGTTTTTAAGCTATGGTCATCTCCTATCCAGCTTTTACCAGCCACTTAAAACCATTTGTGAATCATGCTGCTGAGAAAATGATGTGCACCCTTTTTTTTTTTTATCACAACATCTGCATTTTTATATTAACTCAGTAGATGTGGTAACAAAAATGCCATCTTTAAGAGGAGGGCAGACCATAAGGCACCTGTCCTGCTTCACATGTCTTTCATCGTGGTGAGCAGCTACGGTGGGGTGTTAAGACCTTGTTCCCAAGAACTGTGGAATCTAGCAGAAGAGAACAGGTTCTCCCTTGCCTGTGTAAGAAAGGCCGCTCCAGATTCGCAGCACTCGCCTGTTGTGTTCCTCCGTGGCCACCCGGCTGCTGGCACCGGAGTGGCTCTTTCTCTAGTCTGTCCCAGCCGTGGCCATTACCACTGAAGAGGAGGCAGTCAGATTTGCTTAGCTGCCTCCCTCAGGGTTTGCAGAGATGGGGACTTAGTTCTGGCCATGTAAGAAGGCTTCTTGTTGATGTCCACAGGCAGACATGAAACGGGACCTGTGTTGTCCAGTCCCTGCCATCTACACTCCCGTGGCGCCCTTCACTCTGTAGATAGGTAATAGACAGATGCTTAAGAAGGCTAGCTTTCTCCCCTTCCCCACAACCGAAAATAAACTTGCTTGCTTAGTAGAGGTTCTGAAGGTACCCTGAATTGTGTAGTCTGAAGCCATCCCAATCATGGGTCCCGAGTGCTCTGCATTCTTGGCCATTAGTTGATCCCTTGAGTGCATCCTAGGATTTCTATTTGATGGCAGCAATTAACTTAATTAGTCCTCTAGACTCCGAAGGCTTGAAGAGTGATACCTGGTTGGAAGCTTTTTTGTTCCAGGAAAACCAAGACCTTTTTGATGTTGATTGATCTTTCCTCTGTCCTTTTCGTGTAGTGAACTCTGAGAAATGGGTTAATAGTCAAAGGCACCCTCTTCCCTGGTCCACATGCTGCCAAGATACGGTTGACTGTAGATTTCCAGATCCTACCTCTTTGAACTTGTGCACTGTCCGTGTACACACCAGGCATTCAGGCAGAGCCTAAGGTGCGGGGGCTCCAAACCCCTGTTGCCATGGCCTCTTACCTCTTTTAGTAGCTGACACCTTTCTAAGTACTTTTCTGTTTGTTTGTTTTTTAATTAGTCTTGGTTCTTTTTGGAGCATGGGTGGGTTGACTCTGGAAGAAAAAAAGAAGTTAATGGCAGCTTAGATCCTAGAAACTTTGCTTACTCTGGCCAATATCACATATCTTTTGGGGTTCCCTGAACTTTAACATAAACCTGATTGTTTCCAAAATGTAAGGATGGACCCAAAGGGAAATGTCAGGGGATTTGTCTGTGTTTAGAGAGAAGAGCATGTTCCATCTCAGAACTGTATTAGTAGCAATTGCTCTTCAGTTTGCCGTTTTATCTTTTAAGGTACCTGGGGAGGAGGAGAACTCACAAATACTAGACAGTGACTGCTGAGCCACACACCCAGCCCCAAAAGACACTTTTTGTTTCTTAGTGTTTTGACATGTGGCCTAGTTGTGCAGCCCCAGCTAGCCTGGACTCTCGGGCCTCCTGCTTTAGCCTTACAAATGTGCTCCGCGCCACCACAACTACTCAGGAAGTTCTAGGGGGTTGGGAAGCTCAGCAGGAATGCCCACAAAGATAAATGTTTATTTCCCATCATCCACACCTCTTAGCAAAAGTGCGCTGTTAGATACGGACAGCTTTCTTGTAGCATCAGCAAAGGGGAAGCTAGTGAGTATTTGTACAGGATGTGTTTTCTTCTTGATATGATAATGTATTAATGTGCAGTTCCAATTGGCAGGTGGCATGCCATAATCCCAGCACACAGGAAACTGAAATAGGGCAGAGTCGGGAGTTGGAGACCACCTTGGGATACAGGGTGAATTCCAGGACATTTTAGACAAACTTGGCAGGTGTGATAGTACATTTGGGAGGCAGAGGAGGATGGGGCTTGAGTTTAAGACTCATCTGTTACACATGAATTTCAGGTTGGCTAGGACTGCAGAGTGAGACCCTTTCTCAAAAAGAAAGAAGTATGAGGCCAAACAGATGGCTCAGGGCTTACAAATGCTTGCCGGTCCGACGAAAGACTGGAGTTCTCCTCCCAGCACCTACGTTGAGTGGCTCACAAGCACCTGTAACTTTAGCTTCAGGGGCTCCCACATCTTCCTGTGGCCTCTATGCACACCCACAAACACATGCCATACACATATAAGATCATTTCCGTAATTATTTATATCTAGTCTGGAGCACCAAAATATAGTGTACATTTTAGCATTTAGCAAATCATGTGTAGTGTACAGAGTGACTTTCCTGCTCAGAGTGATTTGTGAGTGGCAACCGAGCTGTCCCTCAGGAGTCCAGGGTTTCTGTATGCGTTGATTCGTGTCCTTGGGGCTTGCTTTCTATTCTTGTAGCTGATGAGTTCTCGTGGAACAGTGCTGTTAGGAGAGGGAGGCAGCGGTGGTCCGAGAGCCCCGACGTGGCTGTGGGCAGTAGGGTCCTGGTGGGGTCCCCATGCTGCTGCCCTAGTCTGCCTGTTGTTGCAGGGCCCCGTGAAGCACGTGTACAGGGTGCTGCAGTGTCAAGAGGAGGAGCTCACTCAGATGGTCTCCACCATGTCGGACGGCTGGAAATTCGAACAGGTACATGTCTCAGAGAGGAGCAGCCCCTAGGGAGCCATGACTAGCCAGTAGGTAGCCCTGGGAGTGGGCGTGTGTGAGGCGGTGTGACCCCATTTCAAAACTGGGAAGGAACTCCTCTGTGCGCATTCCTTGCTCGGCGGCCTGTGATGACTGTGAAGGGTTGGGAGGGGGACCACATCTTTTGGCTTCACATCCAGAGTTTGAAGTTGACAATGCACAGGGGGTCGTGGAGCTTATAGACTCTGAAGCACCTCACTTTGCTTTTCTTTGCCCTAAAATTCCTTTTAAAGGGGCTCTGCTGACATCATTCTGTGAGCCCTAAAGAAGGCTGGCTTCAACAAGAGCTTTATAATTCTGGATATATGGATCTCAGGTGTACTAGGAAGGGATCAGACACAGAAGTGTGCTACCGTCATTTCCCAGCATTCTCTTCCCTTCATGTCTTAGCTCTGTGCATAGAATTGAGGTTATGAAAACAAAGCCCCTGAGAATCTGGATTTTACCATTCTTTTCCATTAGATGGCAGCCTAGTTCATCTCTGTTGCCTCAGCTCAAGCTGAGCTTGAAAGGAAGAGATGTGATTTTGTGTGGAGGGGACTGTGTTCACATGGGGTTGCAGAGCCAGCTGAACTGTCACTCACAGAACCAAAGCCACAGCTTGTTTAGATGGTGTTAGGCTATAGCTAGAGGAGTAGATCCCTCTCTCTGCATTGTAGAATCAGTCCGGTCACGTGGGTCCCCAGTGCCCAGTGAGCACGGGTGGCCAAATGCTGCACAGGGTTTATTATCACAACTATTTTCCCTGGTGCGTAATCTTAAGCAGAGGTTATCTTTAAAAGTAGATATGTGGCTATTCTTCGTGAAGATAATGGATAATTTTAAATGTTACTTACTATGTTATCATAGACCTGGGCCTTGAACCTGTGGCCTCACACAGTCTAAGCAAGTGCCCTGCCAGTGAGCTGTACCTCTAGCCCTCATCTGGGATCTTGCTAGTGTCCTGAGGGAGAAGGAGGAAGTTGGTCGTGGGGTGCCCAGTCTTGCAGCTGAAGGGCTTGTGAGGCGCACTTGCTCTCTGCCAGGCTTCTCTACATGCAGGCTTCCAGGTTAGTCAAGTACTGAATTTGTTTCTCCAAGAGGGTTAAAGATACAAGCACCGTGGCATGTGGCTTTTGGTGGCTGCAGAGTGGTTTGCTCAGTACTTCCCAGGTCTCTGTGTTCCAGTCTCTGCTCTGGAGAAAGTGCCAGTGAGAGCATGCGGGGCTGACAGAGAGCTCATTTCTCATCTTACCTCGCCTTACGTCCTGTTGATCCGGGTAGTCGCCACATTAAATGTTCCTTCTGCCTTTGGGATGGTGTCAGGTGCTCGGGTGAGGGGACAAGGAGGAACTCAGCCTCTTTGTTCTCTATGGTGATTCCTGGATTAGGATCCACATTTTCCCCTGGACCTTGATTGCCCCAGAGAATTTTATCCTTTGGAGCATAAAACTACAAAGTCCAGTTAGGGAGGGTGTGACTTGTGTGGCACCAGGGTGCTTTTTCGTTTGGTTTGGTTGGTTTTTTGAGACAGGGTCTCACTAAATAGCCCTGGCTTTCTTGGAACCATGTAGATCAGGCTGGCCTGGAACTCAGAGAGAGCCACTTAAATCTGCATCCCCCTGATTGAAGGTGCGGGCCACCTCGCCTGGTTTGGCACTTGAGTGTTTCAAGGTTCATATTCTGTCTTCCTGTTTTGCCAGCTAATCAGCATTGGCTCCTCCTATAACTATGGGAATGAAGACCAGGCAGAATTCCTCTGTGTTGTCTCCAGAGAACTAAATAATTCTACCAACGGCATCGTCATAGAGCCGAGCGAAAAGGCCAAGGTAGGCCAGCTTCCCCAGGCTGGTTCTTCCTCCTGTGGGCCCAGCCTCTCTCCAGCTTCGCCCAGCTGCTGCTGGGTTCCTTCTACTCCTTCTGCAAGATGAGAGTCCTCTCATCATCTCTTGGATGCTGGATTTAAGTCAGAATTTGTAGGGCCTGGGGAGATGGCACGCTCCAGCTTCCATGAGAGAGAACATAAAATGAGGTGGAGAGTGACAGAGGAAGATGCCTGATTTCCACTGTGGCCACCACAGCAGCATGCACACCCCCACACGTACACATTCAGACCTCGCACACATGCCAGCAGTCAGCTCATCGGGATTCATAAAGCAGTGATGGGAACTGAGCCTGGACAAGGGTGGTTTTGCATCCTGTCAGGATAGTGAAGAGGCTAGGGTTCTGCACCCATGACACTTCTCCGTGTTGCTAGACACAGTCAGGCGGTGTCTGCCTTGCTCCTTGACAGCCCATTATTCACTCTCTTCCCATACCGTGCCCCACAAAAACACACCACACACTGCCGTCGGTTGTACCCAGTGAGTTGAGTCCCAGCACCCAGTGCTGGTCCTGGGGACCCAGCCTTGCCCAGGTTGAATACATGCTTTACCCCTGGCTCCCGCCAACCCTGTGGGCCTTTTATTCCCTCTGCACTTGCTCAGCTCACGCTGTCTTCGCCCATCCTTCACTTTCAGATTCTTCAGGAGAGAGGCTCTCGGATGTAGGCAGAATCTGAAGTTCAGAAACCCTGAAGGCAAGAGAGCGCTGGGCCAAGCAGCTGCGAGGAGACCCTGCACTGTACAGTAACTGAGCTACTGAGAAGCAGAGCTGCGTCTGGTCCCGGAGAAGTGTCGCCAAAACCAGAGGAGCCCCGCCCGCCTGGGAAGACAGTGCGCCTCTTGACACTCGGCCCCTTTTCAGAAACCTGCTTTTGTTTTCTAGCCAGTGTTATGGCAGACCTTCACGACAGCATCTGGGATGGGTACCTGGCTGGAGCCTTGTGGGGAGCTGGGGGGAGGAGGAAGGTCCAGCTCCTCAAACAGTCTAGATGCGAAAAGCTGGAGCAGAGGAAGAAGGATAGTTCTAGCTGTGCCTTGGCTCAGCCTGAGCTGTGTGCCATGCCCAACGCTGACAGCTGCTTCAGCCATTCTTCCCTGACCTAGTCATTCTTTGAGGTTGGAGGGGATTCCATGTTGGTGTGTTGAACTGAGGTTTTAAGTACAGAATGAAGTTCAGAGGACCCGCAATCCTATGAACAGAGCCCCAGAGGCAAGAGGATGAGGGGTCCTGTGCTGTGCTTGGAGGGTGGTGGTTGCTGTTGCTGTCCCCACAAGTGGCTTCGCCCGGTTTGTCTCCCACAGCTGGGGCCCCCGAGGCCCTCCCTCACCCAGCAGTTTTGAGGCTCTGGCGCCTAGGCCATGCTGCACGGACAGTGGGACGAAGCAGCTGGTGTAACTGCTTCTGCAGCCTTTTCTGACCTGGTTGACCCGTCTGCCTCCCCCAGCTTCTTGAACTGGACCAAAGAGAAAGGACTTTGTGGACCCTCTGTAATGGCTTGGGGTGAGGAAAGCTGTTTCTGTGGACGCTGACAAATGTGTTATGTTGTTTTAGCTAAAAGTAGTGGTGTTTTTGTGATTGTCTCTTGAACACGCACTGACTGATAGGTGATACTTGTGTCTCTTCTTGATTTTTGTGGCAAACGAGCCCTGCGGCATCATCCCCAGCCGTGTGTGTGTGTGTGTGTGTGTGTGTGTGTGTGTGTGTGTGTGTGTACACGTGTACATTCGTACATGCATGTATGTGTTCACCCACAGGGTGGCAGTCTGTGTACTCTCTGCATCTCCTGGGCATGAGCTCTTGGTAGACAAGGATCTGGTGGTAATTGTGTGAAGGGTGCCACAAAGAAGCCTCTGAGGCCATCATCCCAGAACTATACCTGCATGTCTTTCTAAGCTTCAGAGTCTCCATGTTTATGGAAGACAGAAGGACCAGGGTCCCCTTTTTTTTTTTCCCCAGACATCTTTAAACTGTGATGTGGTACAGAACAGGGAAGGCTGCCTCAGGATGGACCCAAGCCAAGCACCTGTGGGTGCCTTCAACACCAAGATTTCTCTGCATTCAATGGGTGTTATGGCTCTTGCCTTTCATCTGAGCACCTGGAAAGCAGAGGCAGGTGAATCTCTGTGAGTTCAAGGACAGCCTAGTGGTCTACCTAGTGATTCTTAGGACAGCCAAGGATACATAGTGAGACCCTGTATCAAAAGGAAAGGAAGGAACTGAAAAAGAAAGAAAAGGAAGAAAAAAGGAATCTGTACTCTGTAGAACAGCTGTTTTTCAGAAGCTGGAGTGATGACTACTAGAATGTGGGCCAGCTGTTGCACCATGTGGCTGACTATGCCCAGCTGGCCTGACTGTTCTCCAGGAGGCCCCCTTCTCCATATCTGCAGCATAGCACAGAAGTGCACCTGTCCAGGGCCCCTGTGTCATTTAGTGCTGGCTGCACCAATGTTGGACAGCTATTCCTTAGTATGGCCTGTGCAGGAAACATGGCCCCTTCCACAGTGTCCCAGACATCCCTTCTGTCATCTCTTTCAGAAAAAAGAAAAGATGAATATTCGAGGAAAACTAGAGATGGAACAAGCTGCTCTGCCCAGATAGCTAGAACTTAGAAAAGGGACCTTTGACCAAATCAATAAGTGATGCTAACTTAGGAGAAGCAGCACTTCCTCAGGAGGCCTCCTGTTCACCCACCATATGAAGCCCCCTTGTCCCTCTGTTTCTGGGGCACACCAGGTGGTCCAGACAGAGCCAGTGCCTCTAGCCCCATGTTCAGCAAGGAGTGAGAATACAGGGGAGGGGGGGGGAGACAGGCATTAGTCAAGTACCTGGTAAGTGTTATCCTCACTGAACATTCCAGAAAGCCCCAGCTAGTCCTGTACAAACAATACTATTGAGCCTCTAGTCTAGACAGGTGCGAGACAGGCATTAATGATCTCGTCTAGAGGGCATGTGTTGGCTCCCTAGCCATCACCCAGTGTTATCTTAACAGTTCTGTGCTCCAGGCATCAGAGGGGACTTACTGCTTTCCTTGAGCCACTCTTCTTTAAACAAAACAACAAAAAACCTTGCTGGAGTCTGGCTGGTCACTGCAGATAGAGAGGTCTCTGTCATTAGGGGATGTCCCATGACCTACACGCCCTACTGTTCCCCAGAACCGTCAAATGGGAGTGTCCTTCTGAATTTTAATTTGTCCCGGGTCTTTTCCTCTGGTCTTTCCCTTGGTGGTGATGGGCCCGGCCTCTTCTCAGGGGACTCCATCTTCCAACGTGGAATCTTGGCTGTCAGCAAGGTGTGAGGAGGGACTGATAAGAGATGCTAAGGAAGTAGGGCCAAAGGGGCACCCACGCCTTCCAGCATGGCCTTTGTTCTTTGTCTCTGGGACCATGCCAGTCACTCTCCAGTGCCCTTTGTGACTGTTCACGTGCCTGAACAAAGTCTGAAATGTAACTTTTTTGTCAATAAAGATACAGAACAAGCACTGGGTCTTTGAGTGCACGCTCCTGGCTCCCACAGTCATTTCACCATCTGGCTGGTTTCAGCAAGAAACGTCTGCTCTTCAGTGCTCCTTAGCACACACCTCATCCCACCCTGCTAAAACTGCCAGAGGCATGCTGCTCCTTTCCCTCCTCCCTGTTTGTTTGTTTGTTTGTTTGTTTGTTTGTTTTTCAAGACAGGGTTTCTCTGTGTAGCCTTGGCTGTCCTAGACTCATTTTGTAGACCAGGCTGGCCTCAAACTCAGAGATTCGCCTGCCTCTGCCTTCTGAGTGCTGGGGCCACAGGCCAGTGCCACCACAGTTGGCTTCCTCCACCCTTTTATGTTACTGGAAGTGAAAGGCCCCAAGAATGCTGAGGACAGGGGAGGACAGAGAGCTGAAGGAACAAGGAGGAGTTCTAAAGAGAAGTGACCAGGTGCCCATTTTCTGCCAGACAGAGGCAAGGTGAGGAGCATGTGGTAAGAATGAGGAAACAGGTGATAGGTGTTGATCACAGGTCGGGGGTAAGGGGAACCTTTAAAGGCCTTATGGGGGCTGCAGCTGGGAAGGGGAGAGCCACACGGATGAGGGAACCTGCAGGCAGGTCACAGGGTCATTGCAGAGGCAACTGGTTAGTGCAGCCACCCGGGAGTGAGGGGGAGGACCTGAACACCACAGCCACAGGGATGGGTCAGCGGCCCTGCCCTGGGTGGGAGCAGAGGGATCGGCAACACGTTAGACTGTCAAGAGGAGCACTCAGCACTGTCGCCCCAAGCTGGTAAGGCTGGAAAGGCCACAGTGAAGCAGCTACTTCAGAACCAGCTGTTGGCATCAGGCTGGCTGTTAGTGATGGGAAGCAAACAACTCACTTCCCAGCATGCAGGTCAGGAGGCTCTCAACAACACCCACTTCCGACCTCTGTGGACACCAGCACACGCACACACACATACCACATACACATAAAAATAAAAAATCTTTTTTAAAAGTCGAGCAAGTACTTAACGCCGTCTACTGCGACTCAACCATTGCTAGCCTCTGTCTCCGCTTTATACATACATTATTTGGACATATTTTGCTAAAAGTAGTTGTAGACATTGTCTCACTTTGACCTTAAGTACTTCAACCAGCATTTCCCACAAACAGTAGCAATATCACAACTATAAAAATTAAAATTCCACAGTAGCTAGGCCCCAGGATGTGGCTGGGTCAGCAGGCTGTTTGCCTAGCATGCGAAAGCTCTGGGGTTGTCTTCCGGCAACACGGAACTGGGCACAGTAGCACAAGTCTGTTGTCCAGGCACTTGTGAAATGGAGGCAGGAGGACTGATGGTTCAAGCTCATTCTCAATCGCAGTGAGTTTGAGTCAGCCAGCCTGGGCTACATCAAATCCCGCCTCAAGAAACAAATCCATAATATCACCGAAATATCTAGTTCTTGTTCAAGTTTCCCTGATTGTCTAAACATTTAGATGCTTTTACAAGTGTTTTGTTTTTCTGTGCATGGGTGTTTTGACTGTGTCCCCCTGAGGTGGTCCGCTCAGAAGAAGGCATCAGGTTCCCTGGGACTAGGGTTACAGACAGTTGTGAGCTAACATAAGGGAGCTAGAAATTGAACCCGGGTCCTCCGGAAGAGCAGCCAGCGCTCTTAACCACTGAGCCACCTCTCCAGCCCCGTAGGTGCTTCTTTTCTTTAAGCCAAAATCCGATCAATGTCCTCACATCAAATTCCAGTTTTGCTGGGCAATAGTGGCGAATGTTTTTAATCCCATAAGGCAGAGGCAGGCAGCTCTCTGTGAATTTGAGTCCAGCCTGGTCTACAGAGCAAGTTCCAGGACAACCAGCTCTACACAGAGAAACCTTATCTCAAACAAAACAATCCAGTTTTAAATCTTTTTTTTTTTTTTCTTGACATTTGATGTATTTTGTGGGTGTACTATGGCAAACATGAGCAGCTTCTCAGCTAACATCTGAGGGATCCAGTGATGAGCTCAGGTCACCAGGCCTTTACCCACTGTCACATCTCACAGGTCCTCGTGTTAACTCTAGTGACATGCCTGTAACCCCTACCCTTAGGAAAGAGAGGCAGGAGGATTAGGAGGTCAAGGCCAGTCTCCCCTACATAGCAGGTATGAGGCCAACCTGGGCTACATGAGCCCATGTCACTAAAAATCCAAGCAAATAAACTTCTACCTTTGGGCATTTTAAAAAAATCTTAACTTTGGAGACTATCTGATTAATATTTATTTGAAAGTTGTTTATGGGGGAAGCACCCATGTGAGGTCACAGGAACTGTACCAGTCGGCTCTCTCCTTCCACCATGAAGGTTCCGGGGATCAGCCTCAGGTCATGAGGCTTGGCAGCAAGGCCTGCCCAAGCTTCCCGCCTTCTCATCAGCCCCCAAACAGAGCTTTCTTAACCGTTTGGGTTGTTATTCAGCTGAGATACAAGTTCTACCTTCATAAAAGCCAGAGGTGGCGACCTCAATGTGGTGGTTTATTTCTCTCTTAGCATTCACGGTAGCCATACCAACGACATACAGTGGCTCCACCAAAAAGGTGAATCCTCTTCTTGCTGCTGTTACCCTCAAAGAGCATCAGTATGCGGTGCGTCCAGGTACTTCCTACTGGGCATGCAACAGGGAGTAGGGAGGAGATAGAGTGGGCACTCAGGAAACAGTCCCCAAATTCCTTAGTCACAGCCAAACCTTCAGTGCAGGCTGGCTCAGTGGCGGCGATTCACATTTCTCTCTGCTCGGTGATTTGGGGCACGTCAAGGTGCTCTGGGTCTGGCTGCAGTTTTCATTCTCAGCTCCCCAAGCAGGGCCAGTTTGAAATCCTCAACCCCACACTGGCCAGATCACACACAGATTGGCACCATCTGGAGAGATGTGTGTAGGTCCCTAGAGTGAACTCCAAGAGGACAGAAAACCCCCAAAAGGCAAGAAAAGGAGGAGGCAGCAACAGGAGCCTGAGAAGTGGTCGGGAATGGAAAACAAACAGTAAACTTAGTGCTGACAGGCAGATCCAAAGTGATGTGATACTCTGCTGGGAACACGTCCGGCTCCCAGCAGGAAGGGCAAACCATTTGGTGCATAGAGCCAAGGCTTGCTTCCACATGGCTTCCGTAAGGCGCTCAGTGTGGGGATTTAAACAGGTAGTGCTGGGACAGAGGGATCTTGACCAGCATTCCTTCTGAAGATAGAGGGACGTTGGGGTGGCCTCAGTCCAGGAGAAGGAAACTGAGAAACACACCCTGTGCTTCCTGCAGATTCTGATAGACAGGGCCCACAAAGCTTTCCTTAGGGATGTAGAGAGGGACGCTGGAGGCCGAGGTGTGCCGAGACAGTGGTAAGAGCCCGCTGCTGTGGGTTGAGATCCTCAGGGAGCATAGCTAAGGCAGAGAGGGATGAGGCCTCTGCCAGAACTGGAGGAGGGGCTGGTCTTCTACTGATCTCTAATTGGATGAAGGTACCTCGGGACCAGTTCCTCTGGCCGCTGGCCAGACTCTTAGTTTTGTATGAGTGTTTGCTTGTGTGCTTGGGGTCACCTGAGACTGGAGTTACAGGTGGTTGTGAGCAGCCTAATGTGGGTGCTAGGAATTTAATCCAGGTCCTCAGGTTCAAATGGGCCTCTCCATTTCCCCTCTACTGTGCTCAATACTTGATGACCCTGACCCAGAAAGAACCGGCCAGCCAGCCTCAGTGGGCCAACTGCAGCCTAGCCACAGGGACAACACAGCACAACAGAGAGATGCTTGCTGAAAGTCTGAACCTGAATTTTTTTTCCCCTTGCTCTTTTTCTGTGGTGATGGGAAACCTAGGCCCTCATATACACACACTAAGTACTTGAACGTACATTCCCACCCCCTTGAATCTTTTTAATTATTTTGAGACAGGGTCTATGTAGCCCAGGCTGTCCTGGAACTTCCAATGTAGACCATACTGGCCTCAAGCTCAGAGATCTGCCCCTGTCTGCCTCCTGAATGCCAAATTAAAAGGTTCCATGGCTCCATGCTCTGTTAAAGTGTGTGTGTGTGTGTGTGTGTGTACTTGTGGATTTCTGTGTATGAGGAGGTCAGAGGGTCGAAGCTAGAGTTAACAGGTGTTGTGAGCTGCCTAGTATGGGGGCCAGGAACCAAACTCGGTGTGTTTGTAAGAGCAGTAAGCTCTCTAAATCTCTGAGCCAATCTTGCCAACCTCAGAACTTTTTTAGAAACTGATATATACATAATTTTATGTGCATGGGAGTTTTGCCTGCCTGTACATCTGTGCATTCTGCACATGCCTGGTGCCCAGGGGAAACAGGAGGATTCAAATCCTCTGGAACTGGAGTTTTAGCCAGCTGTGAGGGTGCAGAGGGCCAATCAGGTCCTCTGGAAGAGCAACCAATCCTGTTAGCTGATGAGCCTCACAACCACCTGTAACTCCAGTTACAGGGAGTCTGACACCCTCTTCTGGCCTCCACAGCCATGTGGTGCACAGACCTGCATGCAGGGGAAACACTACTACACATTTAAAAAAGGGATTAAAAAATCTGCAGTGGTTGTTGACTTTTCCCCTTTGGCAGGATTTCACTTGTGGCCAAAGCCGTCTTGGAACCTGTGATCCTCCTGTCTTCAGCCCCTATTACAGAGTTTTAGAAAGCAAAAGTGACAAAACCCTAAAGCTGGGACTAGAGAGATGATTGAGCAGTTAAGAGCACTGGCTGCTCTTCCAGAGGTCTGGGGTTCAGGTCCCAGCACCCACATGGCAGCCCACAACATCTGTAACTCCAGTTCCAGGGGATCTGACATCTCCTGCCCTCTCTAGGCACCACACACACAGGCAAAACATTTGTACACACAAAAATAAATGCACCTCTTTATTTTTGTTAATCCCTTTGGAAAATAAAAACCCTAAGGCAGCCGAGTCTTCCCATGCTGGAGGGCCAGACACTGGAAAACTAAAGCAAAAGGATCCCACCAGGTAGCAGAATAAGACATACTCTGGGGTAGGGGTGAGAGAGCTGGGCCCAAGAATATCCTAGTCTCATCTACTTGGGAGGCTAAGGCAGAAGGATCCTGGTTTAAGGTCCTCTTTAGATAAGCAATGAGTTCAAGGCCAGTCTGGGCAACTTAAGTAACCAGCTGAGGATACACCTCAGCCAATCAGGGTTTGCCCAGCACACACAGGATCAAGGTTTTAAACCCCAACACCACGCTCTAGTGGAATCCTAATTTGATATATGCTGAGGAGTGCAGTAGTAAGATTTTGTATTTCGGTAATTAAAGCCTTATGTTTCCATAAGAGCAGAACAACGTCATATGTACAGTCAAAACACAGCAGTTCACAACATCCAACAGTCTCCGGTGGGGCAGACGTGTGTGAGGCAGTGTTTGTGGTTCTGCGGCGTGACGCCATGCAGCAAGCAAACTGCACGTGGTGTGTGTGCAGACTGCAGAGAGGCTGCTAATGTAAACACCCTGAATACTTTCTGCATTTGATTTTTGGATTAATTTTTGGTCAGTGGGTGTCCAGAAACTTTTCAAGACCCAGAGCATGAGAAGTTGGGGTCCAGTATATAACCAAGCTCTGGGTTTGACGCCCAGGACTCCAAAGAAAAGGAACTCCATTACTCTCACACAAAATTCCCATAAAGAACTTTTTTTTTTCAATAATAAATTCTTTTTATTTTTTAATTTATTTTTATTTTTTATATTAATCACAGGTTATTTGCTTTGTATCCCAGCCATAGCCCCCTCCCTCATTCCCTCCCAGTCCCACCCCCCATAAAGAACTTTTAGCAGGCACTGTAATTAGAAGATGCCAAAATGCTTCCTCTGAAGCCCCACGACAAGGAAGCCGTCTGTCCCCCACTTCTGCACATCAAAAGGCATCAGGATAGTGTTTTGAAGCAGACGGATGGTCTGAAACTTTGTAGAGGCTTTTTCCCATGGGGTTCAGAAGGACAGGAAATAAGACTCAAGGAAAGCCACTAACTCGGGATGGTTCCACACCCGAGTTCTCCTTCTGAGGAAACACAGTGAAAGCAACAGACAGAATCTCCCACAAGATCATGCTTAGGGATGCCCTGGGGATGTAATTCAGGGGCACAGCGTTTGCCTCGGATATGTAAGGCCCTGGGTTTGATCACCAGCATGGAGAAGGAGGGTGGGGGCGGAGGAGAGGGGAGTGCTGGAGAGACGATTCAGTGATTGAGAGCATTTGCTGCTCTTGCAAAGGACCTGGGTTCCATTCCCAGCACTCACAATCTGTTAACTCAAGTTCCAGGGGATCTGACTCCCTCTTCTGGCCCCATCAGCTGCTGCGTGCAAATGGTGCACATACACCCTTGCAGACAAAACACTCATACATAAAATAAAAATAAATAAATCTTTGAAGACGAGGAGAGGAGGAATACCAGAGTGATGCTTAGATTATGTTAGCCCAAGAAGAGGCCTTGTCCTTTTGACTCACAAGAATCACACTCCAGAGAAAAGCAACAAGCCTCCAGGACCCTCTTGCTGACCATTAGCCATTTTCCTTCTTTGGTCAGAAATATGAGCGGATATTACATCAACTGCAAACGGCCGTAAGTGCAAAGCAGCTACTCTACCCCGAGGGATGGAGATGCCGGAGCTTCGGATTCATGCATGGAGGAGCAGAATCTGTCAGCACTGCACAGCACTGCAGCATGCCCCATGGCACACCTGTGCCCTGATGATATCACAGGCAGGGTGCAGGAGCTGGCTGCACCTGAATTATGACATCAGTAAAACTTGGCTCATCCTCAAGGAAAGGGCATGTGGGTGCAGAGACTATGAAATAGCAGCCACAGGAAAAGGTGAGAAGGCAGCAATCATTATCACCCAGGTAGGACACAAGGGGGCAGATGGGGGACACTCCCAGAATCTAGTGAATGAGGCTGGGGTAGGTCCTGGTTGCTGAGTGTCCATGGATCTCTTCCTTCTTGGCTCAGGGCAGCAAAACATCTGGCTCTTGTTAACATGAAGAAGATTTCACGTGAGTTCAGGCTTCTGACTTGCCCTCCTAAGAGGCAAGGAAGTGGCCCTTCCCCATATTGTCCTGTCCTCCTTTCTGCCGTTCTTACCCTGGCTGAGACCAGGAAATACGATGCTCGGTGTCCACCCCAATGGGGGTTGGCTGAAGACACAGCCCTGGTACCCCACGGTTAGACAGCTGCTTCCAAGATGTAAAAAGGAGCATGCCCATGGTACAAAGGTTGTGCCCCTGGTATAAAGGGCCATGCCCAGGGCCCCAGCCATGTCTGGGTTTTCTCTGTCTTCTCAGGATCATCCCAGGACCAACTCCCCCCACCACTCTCTTCCCAGTCCTCCAGAACCCAAATGCAGAGCAGCAGCAGCAGCCAGTTGGAAGACCAAGTCCTCTGTCCCATTTGCCTGGAGGTGTTCCACAACCCAGTTACCACAGCCTGTGGCCATAACTTCTGCATGACTTGCCTTCAGAGTTTCTGGGACCACCAGGTTGCCGTTGGGGAGACTTACCACTGTCCCCAGTGCAAAAAGGACTTCCCCAGCAGGCCCCACCTCTTCAAGAATGTCATCCTTGGAGAGATGGTGGCTTGCTTCATCCAGGCCAAGGGCCAGGCCTCAGGGCCCTTATGGAACAACAGGGCTGGCCCCACAGATGTGCCCTGTGACTTCTGCTCCCCACAGAAGCTGAAGGCAATCAAGTCCTGCCTGCAGTGCATGGCTTCCTTATGCGAGAAGCACCTGCGCAGCCACTTTGAGGACAAGCTGTTCCAGGACCACCAGCTGTTGGACCCGGTGTGGGATCTCAAGAACCGCCTGTGCCGCAAGCATCGCAAGCTGCGGCATCTGTACTGCCGCACGGAGGGCAGCTGTGTGTGCACGGCCTGCCTGCTCGAGGAGCACAAGAATCACGACACCACCCCTCTGGAGGATGAACGGTCACGCAAGGAGGTGAGGAGGGGTGGGGAGGGGTGGGGAGGGGTGCTCCAGGCTCTCCGAGTCTGTCGAGTTTCCTTGGGAGAAAGTGATAGGAACCATTTCGGTGGTGAAATGAGCCAATTCAAGGCACTTTGATGCAGGTTTATTGGGAGCAGCTCTCTGCTGTTTTACCGGTCCCAAGGAACAGGACAGGGGAAGCTACCATGCATGGGGGGAGACAGAAAAGCTGGAGAAGAGAATGTGTGTGCAGAAAGACAGACAGACAGACAGACACACACACACACACACACACACAGAGAGATGAAGAAAGAGAGAGAAGGGAACCAAAATGTCTAGATTATACAGTGAAGCCCAGACCCTGGGCTGGAAAGTTCAGGGTAGAAGGCAGGTTTATGCCAGCCACGACCTGCAGCAGGTAGGGACCCAGGGATGCTGAGAGAATATGTAGGTCAGGTCTGCCTTGGTTCAAAAGCCACTTCAGCTGCTTCTCTGAAGCCCAACAGAAAGTAACATAGCTCCAGCCAGGCTTTAAAGCACCAAATACTTGAAAGCAGGAGTTTGAGAGCCCAGGCAACATAATGGACAGAAGGAGAACCCGACTCGAGACGGTTAGGCAGGGCCTGTAAGATGGATCAGAAGGTAAAAGGCACTTGCTACCCTGGTCATCTGAGTTCTGGCCTCAGGACCTCCATTTAAGTGGAAGGAGAGTGGGGCAGGCAGAGCACGCCTTTAATCCCAGCATTTGGGAAGCTGAAACAGGTGGATCTCTGTGTGTTCAAGGCCAGCTGGGTCTACATAGTTTCAGGATAGCCAGAGCTACACAGTCTCACAGAGTTGTTTACTTGAAGTTAGCTGCTAACATGATGGCTTATGCTGAGTACAGGAAGGCACTGGTAAGGTAAACTGATAAAGAAGCATATAGGACTGCATGCCAGAAGTCTCTATCAGCACGAATCGTGAGGTGGGCAGGAATGATTGTTTACAAGTCTCCCTTAGAGATGCATCCAGGAAACGCCTGTGCAGGACACACCTGTGACGTACTTCTCCCAAGAAGCTCTAGCAGGGAGGAGCAGGGATGGCTCAGTGTTAAGAGCCATCTGGATGTTCTTCTGGATGGACCTGAGTTTGATGCCTAGCACCCACGTGCTCGCTCGTCACTACAGTTCCAGTTCCAGGGAAGCAGGAAAAACATCCATACACATAGGATACGAGATATAATTAAAAAAAATTAACTCAGAAACATGATCAGTTGCTTCCTGACTCTTTATACTGTCTTTCCTTAGTTGTATTTAAAGCTGTCTTCCCCCCTCTGTCACCCTTTCGCCACGGGAAAAGAGGTCCCTGTGACCATCTCATTAAGCAACGCTGCCAGGACCCTACATGCCTGAGTTTGTTGTCCTCAGAGAAAGGAGGTGGTGGTGCTCTAACAACTAGCTTCTGAGAAATCAGCCTCAACAGGTTGTGTAGGAACAGGTTATTGTGAAAACAAACAAACAAAAAAGCATTAAAAAAAAAAAAAAGTCTTAACAATGCACACCGCCCTGTAATCTATTTCCAATATTTGGAGGCCAAAGTAGGAAGATGGCCTTGGGTTCAAGGCTAGCCTTGTCTTCACAGCTAGTTTCAAGCCGACCAGAGCTACATACTGGGACCTCATTTCTGAAAAAGAATGAGGAACCAGACTCTGGTGGTGAAAGAACAAAAGCTAGCCGGGCAGTAGCAACGTACCCCTTTAATCCCAGCACTTAGAAGCCAAAGACAGGGAACAGCCGGGCTACAGAGAGAAACCCCATCTTGACACTCCACTCCCCACCCCAAAAGAACAAACACCAGAGGCATAAATGATAGGACATCTGCCCTTCCGCCCTGGTGTTAGGTTCCCTAAAGCGTATGAACACAGAGGGTACATCTCTTCCAGAACTGGCAGTCAGGTTTCTCCAAGGCCTACTCTCTGAATCAGGGCCCTCACTTGCTTCTGGCCCCACCCCCAACCCCACACACCTTCCAGGCAGAAGTTCGGAAGATTCAGGCCAATGTGGAGAACCAGATGCTGATCATTGCCTCAGACAACCAGAAGCACCAGGGACGAATGAGCTTTCTCTCGGTAAGGCAGCCTACCACCACCCCAGGCCCAGATCTCCCACCATCTTCCCCGGGGCTCAGGGGATCTCCCAGAAGCTACAGGGGGTTGGGGGAGAGGGAGAATAGTGGACAAAGACAGGATGCTTGAGGCGCCTTTGGAATAGGATAATGGGGTACAAGAATGGGGTTCAGGGATGCCTCCCTACACATCCACCCCAGAAACTGATTCAGACAATTCGAGATGAGGTGAACACCTGCTTCTCAGACATCCTCCATGAGATTAAACAGCTGCAGATAAAGGTCTTGGATTTTGTGGAGAAAGAGGAGGAGGCTGCCCTGCAAAAGCTGGGCAACTCTATCCAGCAAAGCCACAACCGGCTCCTGAAGTTGGAGGGGGACAGCATCTGGCTTCACAGTCTGCTCACCAACCGGAGTGATGAGCAGTTCCTACAGGTAAGAACCCCCGCCCCCCACTAGACCAGGCCCTGTTCCTCTACTTCACACACACACAGATGTGCCAGGCCTGGGACAAAGTGATCAGGGTGTAGCCCTGCCTACTCTGTGATTGGGAGAGCCTCCTGAACTCTCATCGAACACCCTCTGCTTTTGCTGTACTGCCTGCATAGGTCAGCTATCCCTTCATTTTCCTGCTTTTGAGTCTCAGGACAAGATGGGGAAGTGCCCTGGGAATCTGAGTATGGAATATAATCTCCCGACCACCACCACCTCAAACCACAGGCAGAAGTGAAGTCAAGCCAGTCTATGTATTGAAATCCATATTCCCCCTCAGCCTCGGTCCTGATGTTACTGCAAGATGGGGTGGGGTGTGAAGGTACGGATGAGGAGTCCCTATAGGCAGAGTGGCTGACCCGAAAGTGGCAGTGACTTTTTCTGTGCACAGGGACCAACCATGTTTGGGACCTCCTAATACTGACCTCCTTCCTTAAACTGCCCTCATACCCCTAGACAGATTTCAAAGATCATTGCTTACCTTTGTCCCTCTCTGGACGATGATCTTTATAACAGCTCAGCTGAGACCCTTCGGGTGTTTTCTACAGAAGCCAGCCCACCACTGAAACCCTAACCTAAGCTCTCCAAACAACTAGGAGAGAGGTGCTCACATCTGAAAATGGGACTTCTCTCGCACCTGCCCATGGAGGCACCCACTGGCAGGCGCCTGAGCCCTGGCTAATGGCGTACTAGCTGCCCCCTCTGCATAGCAGGAGTTTCCCCGACTGAAGCACTTCCCTGACTGCGTGGAACCCTTGATGGGCACCAACTGTGAGGAGGCGCAGAGCTTCCTTCAGCTGCCAGAGACCCTGGCCCAGCTCCGCACCAGGCTAATGGACATAGGCCTCAGCTTCATCAACCAGCTGCTCTTGAAGGGTGAGTCTCTGAGGGGTCTGAGGTCTTGTAGCTTGGGAGTGCCACCTCGCCACCTCTGGTGGTTGTGGAGCCCTGCCTGCCTGTGTGCACCCTGCCCAGGTCACACGGTGCTCCCCTATGGCCAAGCCTCTCTCTCTGGAAGGATGCTGGGCCAGAAGAAGGTCCCCAGCAAAGCTTGTCCATCTCCCACAGGCATCAAGATGAACTCCTATGAGGTGCTGCCTCCAGTTGTGGACAGGAAGATGCTACTGCAGTGTGAGTTCTCAGACTGAGGGGGGGCAGCCTGGGGGAGGGGAGGAGGACTCCTACGTGTCTTGACTTCCTGCTTCACCTGCATTTGAGCATATCCTGTCGGCTTTCCTGACCTCTCATGCAGACTGGGGACCTCAGAGAAACTTAGCCTTGGGCCCCGGGCACTGTTAGGAAGAGAGGAGGCCTCCTACCTCAAAGGTGGTTCTCTGGGCCTATGTGTCATGGTTTCTGTCCTCATCTGGATGGATGCCAACTTCCTGGGTTTAGCTAAGTCAAATGGAGCAGGTTTTATTTCTTCTTCGCAATCCAGGTATTTATTTACTCGATGTCCCTATACGACCTCTCCAAGGCAGGCTTCTGAGATATTGAGGGTCAGATATGGAACATCTTTGACCTCTGGATCACCTCAGCCAGGAACCCCTCATCCTCCCAGTCTCATTCAAACTTGCCCTGAACAAATAAGACAGGTGATTATGTTGGCATCTGATGGAAAGGGAAGGGGACCCCTGTTCCCCAGCCCTTCCAGAAAAGTCCAGCGTTGCACAGGGACTGCAGCTGAACCAGGCTGTTTGGTTCAGCCGGGTGTGTCAGCTCACGCCTGTAATCTAGCACCTGGGAGGCTGAGGCGGTACAGCTGCCACAAGTTCAAGGGTTTTCCCCGAGCTAACCCAGGCTCATCAGAAGTAAAAATAAATGCAAATAAAGCAGTAGGCAGAGAGGGTGTCGCCTCTAGGCACTCGGAGTGGAAGCAGCCTGTGAGAGCTTTGCAAACATCAGCTCTTAGCCAGCACCGCACTCTGAAAACAATGACCCTGGCTCCTCTGCGCCTCGGTTCCCAACCCCAGATTACTGCAACCTGAACTTCGACTCCGACACGGCCAGCGAAGATCTGTTCTTGTTCAAGGAAACACACTCAGTGTTGAACTTGGGCATTCTTCTGGAGCCGTCGACCACAGCCAGCAACACCCCTTTACCGGGCTTCAAGCAGTGGCCTCAGGTGCTGTGCTACCCAGGCCTGTCGGAAGGCTGTCACTACTGGGAGACGGAGGTGTCCAACTCGTGGATGTGCCTGGGAGTCACGTACCGTCGCAGCCCCCCGCTGACCGGCAGCCGCCCGCGTCGCAACATCGTCTACCTGCTGGGCCGCAACTCCTACTCGTGGTGTCTGGAGTGGGACTCGATCAAGTTCTCCGTGTGGCACAACAACACGCAGACGGTGCTGCACGGCTCCTATCAACACACGCTCGGCGTGGCGCTGGACTTCGGCGCCGGCTGCCTGTCCTTCTACGGCGTGGCGGGCGGCATGAGCCTCCTGTACCGCTTCCTCACTTCCTTCCTGGAACCTCTCTACCCCGCGGTCATGGTTAGCAGCGGAGCCTCGCTCACACTCAAGCAGTACCCCGAGGCATAGGCAGCGCCCGCCGGCCCAGGCTGGCTGCCAATAAAGTTAGATCTACGTACCGGCCCGGCACGAGCGCAGAGAGGGTGGTTTCCGGCGTGGTCCCCTGCGCCCAGGATGGAAGCGGGTGGCCCACCTGCTTCCCAGCGCTATGTCTGAATCCATCTGCGGGACCTGCCTGAAAATTCTCGATACTGACCTTCTCTGTGACACCGGAAGGGCTCTGAAGCAGACAGGAGGTGTCCTCATGTCCTTCAGAGGCCAAAATCTTGCTTTAAATACCCACCACCCCTTCCCCACCTCATCGGCAACCCTTGGCCTAGCTTCTCAGGCCCACCCTTGCCGTCGCTTCCCACTGTCTTCAAAGGCTGTGAGGCTTCAGACTGCAAGGCTTCTCTCCAGGTGGCCATACTGTGAATTAGCACCGGATGGAGATGGGAGGGTTGGAAGAGTTCTAGCGTACCTGGGGACTGGATTCGTGCTCAGGAGCTCAGCCCTATCTCCGACCCAAGACCGGTGAGCTGAGGACCGAGGTCCAGGTTAGAGGTGGTGGGCAGAACAGCTTACATCACCCACTAGAGCAAAGTGTCTCTGTCAGCGTTTGGCAGCACGGAAGGCTGTGGATACGGGGTGGAAAATGTTCACCTCCCATCCTCTTCTCTCTGGTTTGGGTGAGTGGTTCCCTGTCTTCAGTGATGAGCTCACTCCGCTCACGGAAGCTGTGGGCACCCAGGCCTTTGTAATCTAATTTTGCCCAGTGTGGGGCTTCTAAGTCTCTGTAACGGCTTCATCCACCTCCAGGCCCAGGACCTGCTAAGGAACCCTGACTATTGGATTGAAGCCATGCCCACCCCCATGCCAACGGTTCCTGTCCAGTGGGAAAGTACTCTGAATTTCCAGACTCAGCCGGCCACAGTTCCTGTGGGTTTAAAGCGAGGCCTTGGCCGAGTTAATGATCCATGAGCTGATAAAGGTCATAAGAGAGAAAGCCCCTAGGGCAAGGCAATTTGCAGCCAGACTAGGCAGTCCCCCACCATGAGGGCACTTGAGAATTCAACCCCTGCCCTGCCTGTACCTGGAGAAATTAGTAACCCTGTTTTCTCCTTGAGGCTCTCCTTTTGGGGTGGGGAGAGCAATGTTATGCTTTGAAAGTCTCCTGGGGTGCCCTGGCTGTGACCTTTCACCCTGGAGTCGTATTTCCCACAGGTTGCTGTTCCTGTAGGGGACAAGGCTGTGAACCGCTTCCCCCATATTGAGGGAAGAGCCTGTCCTTATTCCTAATGCCTAGTTCATGCCTCCCCCCTAACTCGTTCTTCCTGGGTCGGCAGGGGAGCCAGCTGGGCCTGGTAAAGCATCCCTGCAATTCAATCACTCAGGAGGCTGAGGTAGAATTGCTGCAAATTCTAGGCAAGTCAGGGCTACATAATAAGACCCTTCACCCCTTACTGCCCCCCCCCCAAAATGGGAAGGATCCAGGCCTGCTATCATGTACCTGTAATCCCAGCACTCTCAAAGAAAAACTTTGAGGTCGTTCTCAATGGCTCAGCAAGTTCAAGGAACAAAAAGAAATGAAACCAGTGTGGAGGAGGAATTAGAGGGGGGTTGAGTGTCCCTCACATCTGTGCCGAGGGCAGGGACAACTAAGGAGGTGAATGTGCAGCAGACAGTGGGGTCCCTCTAGGAAGCTGACCAATCTGGTTTGCCCGCCCCCCTGGTTTCCTAGGACACATAGCTACAGGATGGTCGGTGACAGGCCACAGTGTCCTGGGACACACATCCAAAGGTGTTCCTTCAACTGATGCTCTTTATTTGGGGGTTCCTTATTAGAGGATTCCTGAAGGAGTCCGCATGGTATCACTGGAGGGAGTGACCCCAAACCAGTAAAGCAAAATTTTGAGGTCTCTTTGGCCATGGCTTAGCCCACTCTTCACAGGAGAAAGTGTCAAAGAGGTTGGAAATTGGACTTGTAATTTCTTCCATTTGACCCGTGTACATCACACATGTCAGGCTGGGGTGTTATGCAGTGGTAGAGTGCTTTCCCAGCATGCTCAAAGCCCTGGGTTCAACCTCCAGCACAGGAAAGAAAAATCACTTTTGCATGAATTATCCTTTATCTAGTAGATAAGTGCAAGTGTGTTAATGTCGATTAAGCCACGTCTCGGAAGAAGGGATGTACAGTGACAAGGTCGGCAAGTGTTCTAGAATGACCGTGTCCTCCTTCCACCCCATTCCCGCTCCAGGTCAAGGAGCCAAGGTGGGGGCTCGCTCTGGAATGGCTGCCCCGCCCCCAGATTTCCTTCCAGGAAAAGTGCAGTGGGGCTTTTATACTGGCGGGAAGTACTCACCATGCCAGGAAGGACCTCTGCCAGGGCATCCGGGACAACCAGCCCCTTCCTTTGGTGGAGAAAGGGGTGAATGGGTCTATTCCAGGCTCTGGCCTTCTAGTCCCAATTCTCTCTCCTTGTCTACCTGTGGAAATGGGATGATGAGATGCCACTAGCCTCTTTTGGCCCTCCTTGAACTCTTGACTCTTGAAATAACACCACAAAAGCAAAGCCTAGCTGGGGGGATGGTGATGAGCGCCTTTAATCCTAGCACTCAGGAGGCAGAGGTGGGTGGGTCTTTGAGTCTGAGGCCAGCCTGGTCTACTGAGTGAGGGCTACACAGAGAAACCCTGTCTCAGGAAACCAAAAACCAAAACAATAAAATCAAGCATGGGGCAGAGAGATGGCTTAACTGGTAAGGGCGCTAGCCATTCAAGCCTGACAACCCTTCGCTCCACTGTCTCCATCTCTACCTTCCCTGAGCCTGAAGATCCTTCGGACTGTGGCTGATCACCGGGTGATGTGGGAGACACCTTTCTCAGCTCTTCTCCCCAGCTTCAAATTGGCATGTGCCGGGATAGCATATGCATCTTCAGTGCTCCCGGGTCAGGAAGTGGGGGACAGGCGCGGTGACTATGGTGAGCGCTAAGCCTGAGACAGGGGCCATTTACTCAGTAAGCAAGATGCAGAAATTGTAACATTCCCCCAACAAGGATGCAAAACCCTCCGATGGTCAGACTATCAAAATGGTGAGAGACAGATTCCAAGGTGGTGTTTTCATCCCTTGACTCCTCTTACTGTAATCTCAGCCCTGAGGCCAAGACAGTTTCATTCACAAAACTAGTACTGGTCGTATTTTCTAAAGAAATATTAAACTTTTACCTGAATGGTTGAGCTTTTTGCCTCCTCTTACCATTTTTGTTTTGTTGTTTTGTTTTGAGATAGGGTCTCACTGTGTAGCCCTGGCTAGCCTGAATCTGGCAATGGTAACCAGGCTGGACTTGAACTCACAGAGATTTTTCCTGCTTCTCCCTCCAAAAATACGTGAGTTAAAGATCTGTGCCACCCTGCTCAGCTGACTTGAGTTTTGAGCCCCAGGCAAGTGATTTAGTCACCTCATCCTCTTTGGAGGTGTCATAGGTCTGGAGGTTGCACAGGGACACGGAGGGTCTGCCATGCTTGGGAATCAGGCTCGGACGATAAGAGCATGCCTGTTGCAAGTGCACCAGCACTCCAAAGGAGGTGTTAAAGGACACCTGGTTAGCGGCTCAGCCTTGCCAAAGTAAATAATAACCAGAGGTACAAGGCCATCTACAAGGCTTTTGGCTTCCTGCCAGGTGTTTCTAGAAGCCACATCCTCATTTGTGGCTAGAGAGCTCTTCCTGCCAGGAGGACAAGGCCCATGGTGCTTTTCTCTCCCATAGCAAGCCACACAGCTAGAAGTGATGAAAATGTTAAAGTCCTGCTTAGTTTGTTTCAGGAATCCACGTATATCCCCTAGGTAGATGAGCCCACGACCCTTAGGTGGCCCACGGCACAGCACAATAGACTCATTTTCTGTCCTGGTACAAGTTGAATGAGCTTCTATTTCACTTAGTTGCAGCACGATTCCTTGATGCCCTGAATCAAAACATGACCTGTCGTCAGCAATGTGGTTGTAACGTCTGTTTCTGGCATGCAGCCAGCGGCTTTGGTAGCAGTGTAGTTTGTGGGGTCTCAAGCACTTTCCTGACCAACAACTTGTAATGAGGCAACTCGGGTTCGGTTTATAAAAATGGGTAGAAGAATATTTTAAGAAAGTAACACTTAGCCAGGCGTGGTGGTGCATGTCTTTAATCCCAGCACCCAGAGAGGCAGGGATATCTCTGTGAGTTTGAGGCCAGCCTGGTCCTCAAAGCAAGTTCAGCAAGACTACACAGAGAAACACTGTCACAAACAAAACAAAACAAAGAAAGTAGCATTTTCCAGGCAATGGTGGCATCCACCTTTAATCCCAACAGTTGGGAGGCAGTGGCAGGCAGATCTCTGTGAGTTTGAGGCCAGCCTGGTCTACAGAATGAATTCCAAGACAGGCAGAGCTATGGAATGAGACCTTGTTTAGAAAAAGGAAGAGGAGGATGGAAGAAAGGAAAAAGAAATGTTGGCAACAAACAATATAGCCTGAAAAGCTCTCATTATTTGTATCAATTGTTTCATCAAAACAGCAAAGTTGGGTACTCAGTGGTTAAGAGCACTGACTGCTTTTCCAGAGGACCTGGGTTCAGTTCCCAGCATCCACATGGCAGCTCACAACTGTCTGTAACTCCAAGCTCTGATATGTCTCACACAGGCATACATGCAGGCAAAACACCAATGCAAATCAATTAAAAATAAATAAAACAGCAACATTGGATATAGTTGCATGAGCAGGAGACCAACCCATCTAGTCCTCCGTAAGCCATCCAGCCATCCCCAAACACCACCTCTGGGCACCAGTGTTTGCACAGTGCCACTGTGCACCTCCTGTCCCCAGTATGCTAGGTGGAACAGGCTTGTCCTTGCCTGAGTGGCAGGAATGGAACAAGCTTGAGTGCTCTTGCTTACTGTTCCTGCTGCTCATACTGGCTTCCCAGGTATGACAGGCCCTGTGTGGGGGATGTGACCCTTGCCTCTCCACCTGACTGTGGCAGGCCCTGGGCTGGATGACCATTCTCTGGACCCCTAAGAACTTTCTTTTTCGGGAGAAACGTAAACAGCATACTCTGAAGGGCATGCTTAGTCCTTTTCACCTGCACCGAGGTGTCATTCACTCCTTTCACACCATTGGTGTGCAGTTGCTCAGGCTTCGACATCTTCCAAAGACACAAGCAGATGAGGGACGGAGGATGGGATTCGGAGGGAATGAGGGAGGAGGCTACAGCTGGAATACAAAGTAAGTAAACTGTAATTAATATAATTACATAGTATATAATTAATTAAAAAATAATTTTTTAATTAAAAAAAAAAAGACTCACAAGCACACAGGTGGCTGTCAGTTTTATCCCTGGGAATTCTGTCTCAGTCCTGCCACATTTGCTTTTAAGTAACTGAGACGGACCCATCATCTGCTCTGGCGTCTTTCAACCTAATAGACATACTAGCCTGTGCTCAGATCTTCCAGTACCTCTCTCACCTCGTGAAGATAATGTCTCACTAGAGAGCTCGGCAAAGCCCCCATCCCAACCCAGAGGTCCCTTGTCTACAGAACGAATCTCACTCAAATATATATAAAAAGGGATTTGTTAGGATGACTTGCAGGCTACACTCTAGCTAATACAACTGTGCTGCTAGTCTTACGTCAACTTGACAAACTACAGGCATCTGAAAGAAGGGAATCTTAATTGAGAAAATGCCTCCATAAGATCTGGCTAGAAGGCATTTTCTTAATTAGTTACTGATGGAAGAGAACCCAGCCCATTGTGGGTGGTGCCATCCCTGGGCTGGTGGTCCTGAGTTCTATAAGAAAGGCTGAGTAAGCCACAGAAAGCGAGCCTATGAGTAGCACTCCTCCATGGCCTCTTCACCAGCTCCTGCCTCCAAGTTCCTGCCCTGTTTTGAGCTCCTGTCTTGACTTCTTTTGATGATGAAGAGCGATATGAAAACTTAAGCCAAATAAACTCTTTCCTCCCCAACTTGCTTTTTAGTTATGGTGTTTTGTCATAGCAATGGTAACCCTAACTAAGAAGCACACGGGCTGGCTGTGAACAGGAAGTCCATGAATCTGGTAGTTACTCAGCCCACAAGGCCGGAAGTCTCGGCTGGTCTTTAGTTTACCCTGGAATCCTAAAGAAGCAAGCTAGACTGCAGGAGTTCTCAACCTTCCTGGCACTGTGGGGACCACAGCCGTAAAATCATTTCATTGCTACTTCATAACTGTAATTTTGCTACTGCTATGAATTGTAATGACTCTCTGATATTCAGGATATCTGATATATGACCCCCAGATTGGTTGAGACCCCAGGTTGAGAACCACTGCTCAAATGTCAGTGAAGGAATGGACTTGCTAGCAAAGCAAGGGCAAGCGGGCAAAGAGCAAAAGCTTCCTTCTTCCTTATACAGGCTTCCAGCAGAGGGTTTAGCCTGGGGTTAAAGATGTGTTTCTTCTCAAAAGATCCGGATGAAAGGTGTGTCTTCCTACCCCAAAGATACAGAGTAGAAGTGGACCTTCCTACTTCAAATTAAGCAAAAGAATTCCTCACAGGTGTGCCCTTCGTTTTTGGACGTTAATTCCGGATGTAGTCAAGTAGACAACCAAAAATAGCCATCACTCCGCTCAACTAATTTTAAAAATGTTTTTAGATTTAATGTGTACGAGTGTTTTGCCTGCCTGTGTGTATGTGTGCCACATGTGTGTAGGAACTGTGAAGGCCAGAAGAGGTCACTGGATCATCTGGAACTGGAGTAGCAGACAGTTGTGAACAGCATGGGAGCTGGTAACTTGAACCCAAGTCCTTCAAAAGATCAGCCAGTGCTCTTAAACACTGAGCCATCTCTGCAGGCCCTGAATTACCTGAATTAACTTGGATTTGTTTTTGTTTTCTTGAGACAGAGAGACAGAGTTTCTCTGTGTAGCCCTGGCTGGCCGGGGCTCACTTTGTAGACCAGGCTGGCATCAAACTCACAGAGATCGGCCTGCCTGGCCTCCCCTGTGTTGGGATTAAAGGTGTGTGCCTTTTTTCTTAATCTTCATGTGAGCACAGTCCTATCTGACCCAGGTAACTGAGTATTGCACACTGCCTATTCTGCTAGTATCTTCCAGTCCTTGACACACATGGGGACCTCAGCCTTCAATAAACTACCTCAGTGAATTTGTTTTCTTCATATATATTGCCTGAGTTTTTACAACCTTTGTCTCAAGAAGGGGATGGGTGGTTCTATTACCCAATTGCTTTGTTCCTGCTCACTCAGGCTGAGTCTACCAACCCCCTATTCCACAATCTCACATATCTGTCTGTGAAAAGATCTTTCCTGTTTAAGTGGCTTCCCCAAGCCCAGCCGCTCAGCTGCCGAGTCTTCCTACCATTAGTCAAGGCCTCCATCCACGTGGTGAACCATGGATTTTTAACCTTCCCTATTAAAGTTGGGGGTATCTTCTACTACCTTTATTTTGCTTCCTCTCTTCTAATTGTCTGACTTCCCATGGGTTCCATGTGTGTGTGTGTGTGTGTGTGTGTGTGTGTGTGTGTGTGTGTGTGTGCACCATGTAAGTTCAGTGCCTGTGGAGGCCAGACAAGGGTGTCTGATCCCCAGGAGCTAGAGTTACAGGTGGTTGTGGGCTACCAATGAGGGTGCTAGGAACCAAACTCAAGTCCTCTGTAAGAGCAGCAAACACTCTTAACCTCTAAGTTATCTCTCTGTCCCCAGTAAATGTAATTTTTACAAGTTAAAGTGGCTGCCATGCAAACAGAAGTTTGATAGGAGGGGCCCCATTAACTCTGTGGGAAAAAAACAAGGGAATTGTTCCCTGAGACAGGTGCGGAAGGGAGGAGCATACAGATAAGGAGACACTCCAGCAGCCAGTTGTAGAGGGCTCGTCAGATGCACCAGGAACATCACAGAGTCACAGTCAGAGCTGGGGCAACCAGCAAAGAGACAAGGAGCCCACCTGCAGTTTTCAAGTAACTGAAACATTTTCAAAGGATGTCAGGTCCTAGTTTTAGAGTGTTAAAACCCAAGAATCAATCCATCAGCAACCTGAGGAGACAGAACGCCATTCCCTCCTCCACCCATGAGCCAGAATGTCCCTAGCCTTAGTTCCTGGTCCTTAGTAGTTTTTATTACCCTGAGCCCCAGGACTT